GGCTACAGAACTGCTGTGAAAATTATCCAGAGCTTGCATTCCTGTCACAGTAACATATAATGCCCTAGGTAAAAACAATACATTGTAACAGGTAGGCTATTTTCTCATTGGGTCAAATAGCCTCAGGTTTCTTTTGTGTACGACAAAACTTCCTCCTATGTATTTAACATGAATTTTTGAAAGTAAATTAACCATATGCATTTTGATTTTTAATTCTTGTAACAACTTTGTATTGTAGAGAGACAACTGTACTGTGCGTAAATGAGGGACAAAGAAAAACACTTGCAAATGAAGCTGTGTAAGTTACTAAGGTGCTAAATCATCTTCCCATCACTTACCTCTGGGTGGTAGGTTCCTTTATAAGAACATCAGGAACTTTGTATCTTGCTCTGAGAGGTGAAGCCTCATCAATTTTAAGCCTGAAAATATTGCCTTCTATTTCATAAATTTCTACTTGTAGAAGAACCTGGGAGCAAACAAACAAATAAACTGTTAGTGATAAAAAATATCAACTTATTTTTTAACACAATATCACCAAACACTTACTGTCTGGAAAAAAACGAACATGTCTGCTTTCTGATTTAATGTTCTTTAGCACTGTTGAGTAAAAATCATTATCCATGTGAATTTACACCAGCTAAATCTAGTTCACCCCTTCGAAGAAGCAATGTTTTTTAAGCAAACTCTTTATCTTCAACTTACAAAGTACACATAGCTGCAGTTTGGAGCTCTCTCCCCACAGCAACATGGAAAACAGCAACAGTGTACACTAATCTCAGAAACAGTAGTACAATTTCACTACTATGCTGTCAGTGTAAGAGTGGTAAAATCCTGAGATGTGGACTTTTCGCAAAAACATCAGTGCTCTGTCTTCACTAGTATGCACAGTGCTGACACTGATCAACTGTGTCAGAAAGACACCTAAAGAAAATGTGCTAATATTGCCCTACTCACTGTAATTTGCTATTTTTTAGTTCAGGGATCTGGGAAGTCACCCTATTCTAGAAAAATTACTTACTTTTCTTCCATAGAGGATCCTGATACCACAAGTCTGATTTTTTTTTTTTTCTCCTTCATGTCTCCTCCTTTGAGACACAAAACTGGCGGAAGAATTTCAGCCTGATATCTTTTCCCACTATGTGGAAGCCAATCAGTCCTGCTCTCTTCAAAGGCATGAAAGCATGCAAGAGCCATAAAACCAGAAGAAAAGTAGGCAAGACAGAAAAGATTCATTTGGAATTCCAGGCACTGCTTCCTAGGAAATATTTTACATTATGCTATCTTTGTATAAACCCCCAGATAGTCTAGGAAGCCACAGAACCTTCAGTCTTTCATATTCCTTAAAATCTAGACCAAAAATAGGCTCCTTCTTCTGTGCTGACTGAAAAGAAGGTTAGGATTAACAAGAGAGACAGAAAACACCTTTATGAAAAGTATCTACATAGTGTGATGGTTAGAGCATGGAAGTGACTTGTAGTTTCAAACTCTCATAATCTGAGCATGGGTTAGGTTGTCTGTTCCCTGGGTAAATGTGCCAGCTGCTGTGCCATTAAATTAGAGAAATAGAAGACCCTCATCTTCCTGTTTGTCATCTTAAATGCAAAGATGACTTCTTTTTTCCAAAAAACTGCCTTTGAGCAAACACAGGAATACAAAGGCATGGTTAGGAGGTCCTGGAATATATGTCCTCTTATTCCATTACAGGAAAAGAATTTATTATTTCAAAATAGTGGAGAAAACTCTGAATTGAAACCATTTTTCAGCTAAAAAGACTTCTATTCACATTTTTCATAAAGCTATTAATTTTTTTTAAGTTCCTTAAAATACCTCTTTCTCTTGCACAGCCTCAAGCTGTCAAATAAATACTGACCAGTAAGGACATATTTAGGCTTATAGTTTGCATTCTATCTTAAATATCTATCACTGAAGAATCTTAAAATCTGCAAATATTATTAGTCTTGTTGATAATATTTACTGCTCTTTCTGTAAGCACCCTCTTATGCAAGGGGGAATCTCACCTTAGTCTCCTCATGAATAATTTGGAATTTGACATTCTCATCACTTAATGTGACTGAATCCAACAATGCTCGATACGAGGATTTTCCAGGACATAACAGTTTCTGACGCCTGTCAAGACAGAAAATTATTTTTGGTCTCTCTAATTCTTGTAGTTTATATCACATAGAGAGTCATAATACTGGTAGAAACGTTTACTTAATAATTTTGTCTTGATTTTTTTCAAATACAGTTATCAACACTTCAAGTCAAATTGGAAAAAAAGAAATATAGTTCTGAGCAGACATAAATGTTTATGAATGAGATGTTAGAGGGGATTGGTCACTCATCACCACTCTATAGGTTTTTTTATAAACAACAGTAGTCTTAATTCAAGTGTCCAATTAAATTCTTAGCTCTACAGTTACTGTTCTTTCATTGATCCCAGAAATTTCAGCTCAATAATATGTTTTTCATTTTCTGTCATATATCTCGGCAACCCCGGTGAACAGCTTTTACATTCTGTGGTGATGAAGCAGTGTATGTTTGTAATTTGTAACCTCCTGAATACATACTGAGGAAATTGTTTCTCAACATGTCTGCTGACTACAGATTTGACTGTGGCTTTTGGCCCCAATAATGTTTTTAGGACAGAAACCCTGAAACAGAGGCTCTTTCAGCTGTTTGTGGAATGCTCCTTGCCGAGCCCAGGTTTTATGAACTATTTGAAGATAAGTGTCTTAGAGGCTACCTTAAAAAGAAGCTTCTTCAGTAGTAAACTGATTTCATTTCCTTGCAAACAGGAACACAAATGTGAGCAATCAGTTAAAGGATTTCTTTTAAAAGCAGAGCAAAGGCAGGATATGATACTTACCAATGTGTAGCAAACTCCTCCTGAGAAATTAGAGGTCTTATGTTAAATGGTGACATTCTAGAAAGTTTTGGTGTGAAAGGAGCTGTGCTCGCACTGAAATTTTTTTTTGTTGTTTGTTTTCTGAACATAATTTCCTGCAGAACAGCTATGAATATCTGAGACTGTAACCCAGTACATCAGTGACTAACTGGTGTAACACTGGGAAATCATTCCTTTCAGTCAGGCAGCACAGGATAGAAGACGATGGAGGATGGGAGGTAAAAAAGGTTGAGGAGAAGTATCACAGTTAGAAATAGGATTAGAAAGATAACATAAGGCTAGCTTTAAGAGACTAGTGAACTAGAATTTAGATTTGACACTCAATTCTGGCCAATGTACTTGCTCAACAGGACTGTAATCATGTATGCTATTGTCACAGACTAATGGTTTCTATTGAGTGTTTCGCTGTTTTGAACTACAGATAGTCAAAAAACATCCACATCAAGAAAACAACCTGCATCTGAGTGGAACTATAGTTAAAATATTGCTGGAGCTTAGTCAGATGAGAGGACTGATTCTTTTGAATATTAAAAGAAGACATTTTGGATGTAAGATTACACCTTTTAAATATGGTGATTACTGTTTGCTGATAGGTGAGTGGAATGCTCACTTTGAAAGACAAAGCAGCAGACTTGTTATGATTAAGAATCAATGTGTAACTACTTCCTGTATCTTTTAATATTACTAGTTTAAAAACAACCACCAGTCTACACTACAATTCTCCTTACCTGTAAAAAGCAATCTGGTTGCATTTCTTAAAGGTGCTTTTGTCCACAGCCTCATCTTGTACACTAGAAAGAGCAGATAAAGAGTTTACTTGTGTTCACCGAACACCCGCTGAATGATGAGATGTCAGGGTTCCTCTTCAAGACAATGCAGAGAACTCTGATCCAACATAAAACGTGTTGAAATTTGAACTACTGTGTTGAGATATGGGAAGAACTTCTTACACATTTAGTTCCATGCTGAACCATTTCCTTTTAAACTTTGAAAGTTTAAGAAATGATTGAATCTATGACTAATGGAGCTGAATTTCAGCATGACTGAATTCTTGGGGGGTTTGCATTTTGAAGCCAGACCCCTCTCTGCAGTCATTACAGTTAATTATTATGTTCCAGTAAAAAGAATGGATAAATAGGCAGGACTGGCAGAAAGAAAGAAATCCTGCACACTCCTACCTTTAGTGGGACCGACAAGGAAGGGGGGCTTCTGATGGCCCTGCTGACAGCACTATGTTATCTCTAGGCTTGGGGTAACTTTTAGATCTATTAGATAACACTAATTTTTTGGGTTGCCTGAAAAAAATGGGCTGCCAGTAGTTGTCTATCATCAAATACTTTCCAGATCATGCTAAATTCAGACACAGATGGAAGTGAATACGGTACTAGTTTGGTAGACAAAGCACTGATGCTTATAGAATACTTACTAATTACATACACGCAACATAGAAAATTCAGGCGGCAGCCATTGAAACTCAGTCACAATTACAGATCCTGGATTATTATTGGAGATCTCACAGAACCCATATATTTAGACAACTTAGCCATTCCCATTTTTGCCTGAAGACACATACGTCCTTTCAGGTTTTGCTCCAGGTCCGTGGGACTTTGTTGCCGCATTTAAACCCCTGCAGCTCGCCTGCCTTCCAGCGGTGCAGCTGTCCCGCTCTGCGGCCCGGGGCGCGGGGAGGCTTTGCCCGGGCAGGGCGCCGGGGACAGCATCGCCACGGCCCCGCTCGCCCCGCCCCTCACCCCCGGCACACTTGCGGGAGCCGGGCCCGCTCTCCACAGAAACCGGGGAGCCAGTCTGGCAACACCGGAGGAGCGAGGAGAGGATCGGCCAAGGAGTCCCTACCAGGCAGCGTTACCTGACTTCCCCTGCCGTGGCCGCCTCCATGGCGGGGCTGCTCCGAGCGACCCCCGTGGAGAGAAGGGGTGACAGCCCACTGGCGGCGGCAGGGCGCGGGGGGCTGCCCGGCGGCAGGGGCTGCAGCCGGGGAGCACTGCGGGACCCGAACGCGACCGAGTCAGCGAGTGACACCCGGAGGCGGTGACAGCCCGGGCCGAGTCGGGGAGCGGCTCCGCCCAGCGCCGCTCCCGCCGGCCCACGGCCGCCGCGTCCCCCCGCGAGGAGCGGAAGAGGCGCGGCCAGCGCGGCGGCCTCCGTACGGCGGGATGGCGGCGGCGCCGCGTTGCGGGGGGCGGCGGCGGCGGCCCGGAGTCGTCCTGCTGCGGCTGCTGGCGGTGCTGCTGCTGGCGGGCGCGGTGGGCGCCGGGCAGCGCTCCAAATGGCGGCTGCCGGTGCTCCTGGTGAGTGCGGGGAGCGCGGCCGGGCCCTGCAGCCGCCGGGCCGGGCGGTGTGGCGGCGGTCGGGGCGAACGTGTGCGGGAACAGGGGCAAGAGGCCGTGGCTGCTCCGCGCGTCGTCCTCGGGCTGCGGCCGGGGGCTTCCCTGCCCGGGCCGCTCCTCTTTGAAGCCTGACCGCACCCGCGGCTGGTGCTTGGGCTCGGGGCCGTGGCTGCCCCCTTCCCCGCTGCCAGGCTGGAGCCCTCTGTGGCGGGTCGGTCGTGGCGGCGGGGAGAGAAGGCTTATGCGGGAAATAGTTCGATGGGCAGCGGAGGGAGCGCGGCCCCTGTGAAAGCCGTGATGTGGGAGAGAGGGAGGGAAGGAAGGAAGGAAGGAAAGCGGTAGGGTCTCCCCGACTGGTGCCCGGCCTTGGGAGGGCCTGTGCGGGGAGAAGGCGCCCCGCACCCCCCCTGCGGCCGGGCTGGCGGCCCGCACCGCCGGGGCCTGGCGTCGGGAACGCTGGAGAGAGGTGCGGGCCTTAGGGAAGGGGAAGGGAATTCTGGCGCTTCTGACAAAGCATGTGTGCTTGTAGTGCGGAGGAAAGCTGTTTTGCCTCACTTTAGATCTGCCTTTACGTGGCGGTGGGAGTAATGTGTGCTTTCTCTGAGACCCTTGAGCTTCGGGAACAAAACTGAAGGATCATGGCAAATGCTTCTTTTGGTTCTTAGAACAAAAAATTTTTTTGTTGAATAGTCCAGACTGTCTCATCAGCAAGAAAATGGTAATGGTTTCAACAAATGTCAATGTGAAATTAATTCCGTTTGCAGAACAAAAAGCCCCAAGCCTCTCAAACCATCTTTAAGAGTGTGTTGAAGGGGTGGTGAAGCATGACTGGAAAGTCCAGTAAGTCTGGCTCCAGATTTGGCATTTGCTTTCGTTACTGTATTGACTTAAAACAGAATGGAAGATTATGTTTACTTAAGCTCGGTGACATTAGGCTCACTAATGTCTCTTCTGTTTTTGCGCCTTTACAGGGGAAGAAGTTTAACTTTGGGAAAATTCTCTTCAGCAACACCACCATTTTCCTGAGATGTAAGTGGTTATAAGGGATTAACCTGCTTTTTCTTCTTTTGGACACCCCTCCTACTTTTAACATTTGGGACTTGAAACACTGTGAAGTGTTTAACTGCACTAGCTACCATGACAGGTCATCTAACACTGTATGAAAGCCATAGCTCTGATATGATTGAGTCTATTAACAGCCTTGAAGCTTCTCAGTTGTGATCTGTTTAGGCTGGAGCAGAAATGAATGGCTCTTCAGGCCCTCTGTAGAGAGGGCAAGATGGGTAATGGGAGCACCACTTCATTTCAGATAGGGGGTAATCAGGTGTGGGATGGTGCTGAGCTGTACTGTGAGGTGTGTTTTTCCTATTGAAGATTTGCTGAATTCGTCTGACTGGGAGATCTGGTGCTGACTGGGACAGGGGCTGTTTGTGTTGCAGAGTGACTGATGCCACTGTACAGGAGGCAATGCTTTTTGAGGACTTGTTCCTTTGTAGCTGAGTGTTTCTGGGAGCGGTAAGGGAATGTTGCGCACTATGGCAGAGATCTCCTGAGAGATGTTTTCTTCTCCTGATCCCAGTGTGCAACTGCGCTACAGAGCAAACATGTTTGCAGCCTTTCAGTTTTTTCTGCATATTGCTCTTTGCTGATCTGGCCAGGTCGATGGGTTATGTAGGTTACTGCTCAAAGGAGAGTTTCTGTGAAATACCCTCTTACCTGTGAACATGAGCACAGCATTTAGATGGCAGTAAAATGATGTAGGTGAGTGGTAGAAGTGACTAGCTGACTTTGAAAGGCTTGAAATCTTTGCCATGTGCTTTGAGCGCTTTAAGAGGTTGGTTGCACCATGGAGGGGGAAGCTGGTTTGCACCAGTTCTTACCATTGAGGTGGGGGGAGGAAGCTGTTTGGTTTCTGTCTGCTAATTGGGTGCTTACACAGGTACAATGCCTGTGAATGCCCTTCTGCACTTGTAGCAAGTGAGGAAGTGAAAGTCTCAGAAGAGACAATGAGTGGAATCTGTGCCTGTGTCATGTCAAGACTTAGTTGCTGCAGTGATTGTATTCTTTTTAACTGAGAAAATTAAGGTATTGTGGGGTTTGGCTAATATTTGGTGAAATTGCATGTTGCTGTGCTCTGTTATGTTTAGTACTTACCTTACTGTTTTTCAGGTTAAATTTCCAATACCTGCTCTTCTTGGGACAGTGTTTCAAATAAAGTTTGTTAAGTGCCTTCATTGATCCCACATTAATCTGAAACAGGAGGCTAGTATTTGAGTGGTTGTTAGTGAGCACTCATCATGTCAGGGTTAAGGCTTTCCCACTTGTCAAGTGTAGCTCAAATGCTAAGGTTTGCTTCTTGCAGTGAGACAATTGTGAGTTTACAGCTGCAGGATCAAAAGGTAGGAATCTTCTTCTTGGGGAGAAGGAGAGGGGTTTGAAAGGGCATTTGGAGCTTTGGTAGGTTTTAGGTTCTTTCCTAAAGTTTAATAGAAATAGTGTACTTGTAGTAACATGGCATCTGAGACATGGGTCCTTGCAGTGAAGTATGTGGTAAGTCTAATCATGCTGAAATAACTGTGAGAAGGAACTAAGGCATAACATTTGTTTGTTAAAAGGCAGATCTGGTGTTAGAATTCGATTCCTTGGCTCCTGACGTGGACTTGAACTACACTGTGCTTGCACCCTTAAACAGGCATTAAGTCTTAAAATTCTTTAGTGAAGACACCTGTTTTACATACCAGTGTGATTAAAAGATTTACATGAATTTGGATAATGAATCATGGAAGAAGAAGGAACAAAGGCTGCGAACTTACTCAGTTTCTCAGCCTAGATGATATTTAAACTGCATGTGATACTGAGAAACTTCAACTTTGCATATTTTTTCTTTTCTGCCCATGTCTCTGTGGAAACTGATCTCCTTTTGTTTGGTGTCTGTTGCCTCTTCCATCTGCTGTGTGATGTTTGTGTGGACAGTATGACCCTTCTTGTCAAACATGATTGCTCATGGGTCATCCATGGTTTTGGTGAGCCCCTGCATCTCCTTTTCCACTGTCTCTTTTTCTCCTCTTCTTGACTTTTTTTGGTATGTTTGTGCTATATTAGTGTCTGATGCTTTCTGGTTCTGGCTGGGAAGACTGCTGCTGGCATTTAGTGTTGTCAAAAATTAATTTATTTTTATCTACTACTTTTCTGAAGTGCTGTTCTAGAAGGCATTTGGTTTCTTGTTTAGGATCATGGTAGAAACCCTGCTCTCTGTAAATGAGTACAAAGATTGCATTCAAGTTGAATGTTGCTGGCTTTTTTCTGAAGGCTGAGGAACTTAGATTTCCACGTTGCTGAATTCAGTAAATGCCATGGATGCTTTTTCTATTTTAGAGTACTTCCTTTTCAAGGTTTCTGTAATTTTGATGTTTGCAGATATTGCGCATTTTTCTAGTCGTGACCTGTTTTACCTTTAGTGGGTACTACTGCTGAATATGTAGTTGCTTTTTTATTTTTAATAGATAGAAAGGTATTTAAAAGGTATTTTTTAATCTTCTGCTAGCTTTTTTTTGAGATGTTCCTCATTTGATCAATTTAATTAGAAGAGCCTTTGTCATCAAAGAATTTGCCATCTACCCATGTCACTGCAATGCTTGTCTTGTCTTTTAGTTTCTTTGTTGTGCCCTCTGCAACATCTAGGGAAACAAGGAACATGTATGCCTTGTTTCCATGCTTACTAGGAGGTGTCATAAGGACACTTATTTTTCAGTCATTTTCCTTAAACCTTTGGTATTAGGAACTGTTGTTGATTTCTTAGCTCTACATATACATGCTTTAGTAGTCATGAGGTTTAAAGTGGGATTAGTCAATTAAGATTCCATGGCAGGGTCTTTCTTCTAATTGCATTTTTTACCTGCAGTGATCAGTATGGAAACATTCATTAAAAGTGTGCATGTAACAAAGTCTGAGATGAATGTGCCTGTGAAGTTGTGGGAACTTCTTAGCCACTGCAAACATGCTGTTAACTCAAAAGAGTTTTGCCATCTGTTGACTGGGAAAATGCAAACATAATCATCTAAATGGCTCTTCCAGAATAATCGCTGCTCATTTTGTTTAAGGGTGAAGCTTGCCTTCTTAATGTCAAGTTGTCTTCATCAGGTTCTAGTTTAAGATTTGAAACACAAAAAAACCATTTTCCTGACTGGGGGAAGATCTTGGGTTTCACTTTTGTGCATGTTGTTCTCTAATAAATCAAAGTGGAAAGTTGTCTTATTGCTGATTTAGGTAGCATTGCAGCATCAGCAGCAAGAGAGGACGTATAGATGGCTTGGTTTGTCTTTTGGGGGGATGGATGTTGACTTGCAAAATCTTACCTTTTTGTTATTTTCTTGGTGATGGTATTGATATATTTAAATTTTATGTGCAAATTGTTCTTAGCTCTCTTCGCTTGGTGTGTGTCCCTCCCGTCTCTGGAAGGGAGGCCGTTTTTTTATGTTGTAATCACTGAGAGTCACTGCTGTTCTCTTGTTTGGCATTTGCAGTTGCAGAAACATCCCTGATTGTCTTCAGAACAAAAGGTTTCCAAATGATCTTCAGCTCTTTAATAGAATTGTATGATGTTATAACGGAATTCTGTGCTTGCTTTCTTTCACTGAACAGTAATGGGTTACTTGAAGAAAATGTTTTTCTATTGTTTTCAGTTTCATGTTTAAAATGTAATTATGGTAGTTTTGCACAGATTGGAAGGAAAAGCATGGAAGGTAGACAGTGTCTTACATGTTCTTATCTGGTGGTTTTTTTTGGTTTTTTTTTTAGTTGAAGACGATGAAAAAGCTTGTGATCCTTCCTTAGGTTTCAATGTTACTTGGTACTTAAGATATTCTGACTGCTACAATGAAGTCTTCAACTTTGGGGTAAGAATTGCACGGAAAAACATAGGTTAGATTTTTTTCAGGGTAAGCAAATCTAGTGGGGAGGCAATTGGAGATGTTGCTCTTGCATCCACATGGCGATTTGAGCATAAAAGACACATTCTTCCATTGGAAGATAACAAATTTCTGAAATGGAATGGAATTGATCAACAGCTTGCTGCAATTGCTGACTTTTTTTGGGTTTTGGGTAAGGTGGAAGTGTTTGTCAGAATTGTTCTAAACCCAGGAGCTTAAATAAGTACATTGACTAAACTAAAGCGTGTGAGTTTATGCTAGTTGAAAATACTTACAACAATGCTTAATGACAGTGAATAGAAAAAAATGAGTTTTCTCATGTGTAGTCTGAATTCTGTTCTTTATGTATGCACATTGTAAGTATTAGCAATTTGTATGAATGTATAGTGTTTCTATCAAATGTTGTAGAACACAGTTGTGCTTCATATGGCTTATACTTTCCCATGTTTGCTTTAAATATTAATTATGACAGTTGTAACTACCAATCTAGCACAAGACTGAGTCTTAAATCTTTAATATAATAATGTAGAGTTTGTGTAGGCTGAAGTTTATGCTGGCTACTGCACCTCCACTGTATTAGTTCTTACTCAGAGCCTGTATGCCATCATTTTTATAGTCTTGTGTGGTCTCAATGGCCTTTATTCTGTTAAATTTGGTTCAAGAGTGTGTGCAGAGTGAAGCTCTCCAGGTCTTGCACCTGTCTACTTAGATAAACCATTTGAAATATTGGATGCTAATCTAAGTTCTACTCTATGTTTGGCAGGATGAACAAGCAGATAACTATTTTGGGACCACAGCTGAAGAGCATCCGGGTTGGTCAGGATACTATGCCACTGCTTCTCTTCTCTTTCCAAACTGCTCTGAGCTCCTTAGGCCTCAGGTATGGGTAGAAATTTCACAGTTTGCTCTGTTGTCTCATACAATATATAGAGAAGGTGGTAATTCTTGTTAGATGTGTTAGCATCCTATGTAAGTGTCACTATAGGTTGGGAGGTACTGCTTTTTATCTATGACAGCCAGGCTGTGATGATGATTTCTTAGTTTCGCTTTACTTCTGGCTTGCTATTCAACATCTGGCTCACTATGGTGGAAAAAAGATCCCAACCAAACCACTGTAAAGTTCAGTGCTTCTTTTTGTTTGTGGTTTTGTGTTCCAAATTTTTTTTGTTTATGGGAGGCTACTGCTAGTTGTGTAGAAGTGGCAGCAGAGTAAAGATCCCACTAAATTTGGGTCAATAAAGGATTGTCATTTATTGCTCAGATAATGTTAATTTAGAATAATGGAAATGAGTGTTGAGAAGTTAATTACTTAAGCACTGATAGCAGGTTAAAACTGAAAAATAGTAGTGCTCGTTTGAAACAGATGAAGTGGAAGCGAGAAGACGATGCAAAATTAGCGCGGGAGCAAAGTGCAGACGTCAGCCCTATGCTGGCTGGACATCAGCAGGCAAAGCTGTGCCATCCTGCTGATGGCAATGGCAGTGTAACACGGCTTCTTTCTTTAATGGTGTACGTAAGAACTCAAGGCAAATTGTGGAGTGTTGCATCTGTGTTCAGCCATTCCTGATTTGAACAAGTTTATGGATAGAGAATACTGGGAAATGTCTCATAACTACTGAACTTAGTGTTGTGGGTTGCTTTTGATGGTTTTGGTTGTTTTGTTGTTTTGGGTTTTTTTTTAAAAAAAAGGACGTGTCTAAAGATGACTTGAAAAGTGTTTTTAATAATCTGTTTGCAATGCCTCTAGTTCCTCTGATGTGTGAAGATGACTTGAAAGGTTTTTAAAAAGAAAGAAAAAACTACATGCTACCTGCTTTTTATGTTTAATAATATGACAAGTGTCAGTCTATTTTTACTGGGTTTTATAAAGGAGATCTTGTGGGTTTAGCTGTGTATTATGAATTCGGGCAACTTAACTGAATGTTCAGGTTTGTGAAACTGGGGTTTTACAAGTCTTTAAGTGAATTATTATCCAATTCCTTTGAAAAGTCTACTGAATTTCTAACAAAATAGATTCCTCTCAGATACTAATTTCTGAAGTTTCACAGAAATTTCTTCTGATTGTTCAGGCTTTTTCTCGTGGTATAGCAGTTTGACTAGATTTTGAGTCACTGTAGTTTAAAAGAATTGGCAAAATCTGGATCTCTAATAGGCCTCACTCATCTAGGAACTTTTTACTTCATAGATTAAGGCAGAAATCTCAAAATCCTGTTTCTGTCTGCGTAGACTTTATCTAGTAATGGGGATACCCAACAGATTAATATTTGGAAAATAAAATTAACTTCACTACTCTCATGTCTGTGGGTTCTAAAAATAGACACCTGTTGTCTGAGGGGATGAAAACCAGACTCCCTCCACAAATGGACAGTTGATTTATCAAAATGAAAGCTCTCTAATACAGCTGTTCAGAGAATAATCAAGTTTACTGGAAGCTGTTCTGGTAAGGTCATGTTGATGTGTAAAGTGCCTATAAACGTTAAAGTATCTATAAATGCTGTACCTTTCTTGTATCCTACAGATTTTCTATAAAGAATTTGTTCATCCAGAACCTCTCTCACCTGAGAAACAAGAGGTAATTTTTCTTCCCTTCTAATGAGTGAGTATAGTCATGGAAGAGATAATTTTGACATATTGATTTATCCATTTTTCTGTGATGTGTTTTTTGTTTCCCTAAGGGCTTAAAAGATAAGAAGGAGAGCACAGGAAATCACACCATGGTGACAGATAAAACTGTATGTATACTGAATTTAAACATGGCTTGTAATCCAGCAGTCTTTTTTTGTTTTGGTTTGGTTTTTAAATTTATATTTATTTGTATACAAAGAAATTATTGGTAGGATATTCTATGGGTTTTTTTGACATCTGGAATTTTTTAGCTTGAAACTGGGTAGTGCTGTATGGAAAATCAGAAAGCAGAATAACAGAAAGAGAATAACTGCTTCTTCTGTATGTGAAATATAGAACTCATACCATTCAAACCAATGGTATAAATTAACAAATAATTTTCTTTTTCTATTGTAATTTAAAATAATAATTGAAAATACCTGTTTTAAATGGTGACTAATTCTTACAGAATACATTTGGTTTTGTTTTTAGTCAATTTTTTTAAAACATTGTACCTAGCAAGTTGACTGATTACTCTTGATTTTCAAACCTGTTAGTATTTTTATTATATATTATGTTCAAGACTCAAGGAGGAACAATTGTCAAAATAGCTTCAAGTTGATCATCCTGGATGCCAAGAAAGAAAATGTATTTAACTCCTTGTGTACTTAAAGGCCATTCACTTTAAAGCTAAAACATAAATAGCTGTGTGTGCAGTTGTGAAATAAGGAATCAATTCAGCAAGAGACAGAGATAGCTTAAAGGCAAAACTGGTGTATATAAATTTACCCATTTTCTTTTGAGTTTACTGTGTTTCTAAATAAGTTTTATTTTCAGTCAATATTAGCAGATTTTTTTTTTATACATAATGTGCTTTAGGTCTTGCAGTCAGGAAGTTTCTTAAAAGAAATGCATGCTCTTAATACTGAAATTCTCTTGGAGAGGGGGTTATAAAAAAAAGTCTTTGTGGCAGTTCTGCAGTAGTCATGTGAGTGACATACATGTAGATAGTTTTAACTTTAAAGCTCCTGGTAAATATTGCAGTTTCTGAGATAGCTAGAACTTCTTCAGTTGTGGAAATCAAAGAAATCTCTGATTTGTTTTATGGTGCAAATATTTATCTGGACAAGCTTACTCTGTTAGTTTATTGGCAGGATTGGAGTCTTACCGGTGTGAGAGCTGCTGCAGGGACCGCAGTAGTAGTGTCCATAGGAAATGACTACTATGGAAATCTCCCAGCTACCTCTTCTATCTTACACTGTAAAATTCAGCCTTCACCAGGGAGCTGAGTTATATGTAGCTGTGCAGTTCCCAAGCAGTTGATTGCAGCAGGAAATACTTATCTCTGTGATGGTCCTAATGCTTCCAGTCTGAAAAGAAGAATTAGGATGCTCTCCTGAGTTCTTTGTAGCTTTTACAGAACCTTTGAGTACTCTTGCAGTAAGCCAGTGTTAAATTTGCAAATTTGCAAAAAAAAGCTGTGGTCACCTCCCAAGTCTTTGAGGATTCTTCTGCATTCAAACAACTAAATTTTAAGTATTATGTCTAATAAATACATTTAAAATTTACATATCAAATATTTATTAACAAGTTTTAGGTCTCAGAAGAGGTGAACTTTATATTTACATGTAAGATATCACCCATGTATGGCTAGTCTACTTCTGTCTTTTCTTTGTCTTCTCACTGTGCACTGTTAACATTTAGATGTTTTATTTTCAGGCAATGAATGCTGTTATGAAAACTTGGCGAGATGGACCATATATATTTATTGTGCAAATTGGAAGTACAACTGCAAAGGATTCTATTACCAGAGTTAAAAGAATGGAGAGGACAACACCTTCCTCATATCAAAATAAGCTCTTTACAAGTAAGATAGCTGTCTCTATAGAAATATGAATATACAGCACTATTTTTATGTATCACCAGTCTGAGTGTATTCTAAGGTACTTTTAATATACAGTGTATGGTTCAATTTCATCAGACACTATCTTTCACTTCACATAGGTATTACTACAGCTCTTTCTTATCATAAGAAAATAGGTGCTTGCTAGTGTCTTGAAGACTGTTGTTCTGTCTGTTTACTGATGGAAATAAAGAGGAATCCAAAGCATTTCAATTTTGAGGCTTGGTGTTTTCTTTAAAAAATGTGCAGACCAATACAGTGATTTATATTAATAAGCTCAAAACATGTAGAGTACTAAGATCATAATTGTTGCCTTGATATATTATAAGATACCTAACTGTCCATTGATAACCTATTCAAACTTCAGAGAAGTTTGAAAATCCCCTTAAGCAGTTAACGTACGTGTGTTTCTGAATTTTTCTTGTTACACATGAATCTCCATCAAAAATTACTTTTAAGTACTGCTATGAGTTACTTGGTAATGGAGCGTGTAATTTTAATTGCATGCTTTTAGCTGAGTGTGTTATAAGTCTTAACTTTCTTTATTAAAGTGCAAGTTAGATTTAAAAGCTATGTGAAGACATGTAATTTTTTATGCTTGAGTGAAAATCATTTAAGTCCTGGCTTCTTTCTTTTGGTTCTTGTTCAATTTGGTTATTGGATTGTCTTTTTACAGTGACAGTAGAACTGAAGGGGCCGTATGAGTATCTCTCACTTGCAGACTATCCTCTGATGATTGTAAGTAAACCAGCTTTTCTTTGATCTGTAAAATTGTCAGTTGATTTGAATGTCAGTTAAATACTCTGCTTTCATATTTCAGGAAACACAGAACCAGTGTCTCAGGAGAAAAACTTACTTTGCAGAGGGTGTTTTTGGGTTTGGTGGGGTTTTTAGTTTATTTGTTTTGAGGGGTTTTTGGCTTTTTTTTGTTTGATTTTTTTTTTTTTTTTGTACTGAGTACAGGATAGGGAAAACAGATACAGATTTCAAATGCTTGCACATGACACTAATGTTGTCCTTTTCTGGATTGTTTGAATTAACGGATGTTAATTTGTAGTTCCTGAAGTTATCAGTATTGTTAGCTCTAAACTGAGTTTTACTGACGCTGTTATTCGCCTTAGCTCACATCTTACAAAATTTGCTATTCCATGCTTTTGTTTGCAGCTACCCTTTCATTTGTCACTGCTTTCTTTGTTCTTTTACAGCTTAATCTTCCTTCTTCCACCAGCTGTCTCACACCCCATGAGGAGGTCTTTAATACTACCTAACAGTGAAAGCATAATTGAGCTACAAAGAGCTAATCCCCTTTTTATTCAAAGGAGTTATTGACTTGGTAGCTAGTTTCCTCTGTTGAGAAGGCTAAAAAATAAAAAATCTTTAAAGTTTATGTAGTGAAGGCAAACTTTAGCTGGAGATCAACAACAAGCAAAGTCTCTAGCCTGACTTTATTGGCAAGAATGACCTGTAAACAGTTGAGCCCGACAGCATTTCTGAAACACATTTTACTTCCTGCAGAAATAAAAAGCCGCCAGTAGCTCTATTGAAATGTGATATTGAAATATTCACCAGTGTGAATATTCCATGTGACAGGTCCAGAAAAAGGTCTGTCTCTCTAAATGTTTCCATAATGGAGCATCTGCTCATGAACTATCATGCCTAGCTTTTTAGCATTTGAACCACATGGGTTAGTCAGATGTGAAAATCTGTAAGGATCAGTAAGCTGTTCTCCTAAGGAAGGTGTTTTCAGTTTGTGAAGGTTTCAATGGATTGTGCAGCTAATTTCAGTTTGCTTGCTTTAAAAAAAAAATCTTCCTTCTGGAAGAGGAGACTTCTTGATTACTTTGGCTAAGTACTTCCTGCTGTTCATTTAATGTCTTACTCTCCTTCTAATCCCTCTCAGTGTGCTTTTTGAAAATTTAACTTGCTCTGGTATGATGCTGTCCTTTAGAAAATCTACTATTGAGTAGCGTTGTCAAGCTTATTGTTTGCTGTAGGAGATGTACCATGAAAGTTCTTCTCAAACAAGTAACACGGGACCATAAAAAAACCCAAAAAGCACAATGTTAATATTTAAATGAAAGCTGGATTTCTTTTTCAGTTCCAGGTTTTTGGCTGACCTAAAGCTTGGTTAAAAACTGAGTTTACTGGAAATTAACTTCTGAGAAAAGTTGTTGAATTATTTGAACAGAGGGCTTACAAGCATTAGTTGCTTATCTCTGTTCTATGGAATGGTGTGTAAAGGTGACTTGTAAGTTTATTTGCAGAATACTGTAAATGTACTATGAAGTTATTAATAAAGCAATATGGGAGAAGGAGTAGAGTTTTTAGTAGTTGATCATTTGCTTGAATTATTATCTGGGTTTTTGAAATCTAGTAGCTCAGGATATCTTCCTTAGAAGAGCTGCCTGTCAATAAATTGGCAGACTACTGTTCAAGAGAGCAATTGCTCAGAAAGTCAGTTACTCTGATTGGCAGTGAGAAATCACACTGTCAATGTTAAAGAATGCAGAGAAGACAAATGAAACAGTCTATTTAAAAAGTTCCAAAGTTGCTATACTGGGGGAGAAAATAGTTGTCTTACAGCTGTGGAATGGAAACAAGGAAATTATTTTTCTGGGTCTAAAGTTCCTATTTCTTATTTCTTTTTGTGTAATAGTTTTTCATGGTGATGTGTATTGTGTATGTATTCTTCGGGGTTCTATGGCTTGCATGGTCAGCCTGTTACTGGCGGGATCTCCTGAGGATCCAGTTCTGGATTGGTGCCGTTATCTTCCTGGGAATGCTTGAGAAAGCAGTTTTCTATGCAGAGTTCCAGAATATTCGCTACACGGGAGAATCTGGTAGGTGATGGCTGCATCTCCCAGTTTAATTGATGGGGCATAGCACTAATGGCTTATGCTAAATTGGGATGACAGATGCATATTAAGCATATGATTACTTGAGGATTGTTTCAAAACGAAAAACAGGGAACCAGAATTTCTGTATTTTTTTATATGTTGAAAACATGATGCTGTGTGTTCTTCTAAAGCTAAAGTGCTGTTGCTTAGTCTGACTCCTGAGTGTAGTGTCTTAGGCATGTAGAATGGTAGATTCTGGAGAGTATACACTGTAGTGCTGGCTTGAAGTTTAAAATAGGACTTCCTAAGTGTAGTTTATAATTAACTTCTGACAGTTGGTGTTGGCCTTGGAAAGATAGTGTGAAACTCATTGTTCAACAGGATAGCATTGTAGATAACTCTTGGTATTTAGCCCAACCTGATAATCCATTTTAAGAGATTTCCTTCACATAAAACTGGGGTACTCTAGTTTTGAATTTTGAAGCTGGATGCATACAAATGAAACTCTGCAAGTAAAATGTCATTATGACTTTGTGAATTGGCCACACCCATGGTACACAAGGTTTTATTGGCTGACTTTTTTGGAAGAGTATCCAGGCTGACCCTATGAATAAATGTTTTATGGATCATTTACTCTCCACTTTCTGTGGATGTAAACTTTTTCAGTAGGTTTTTTCTTATGCCAAGTGATCTATCTTTTCTGAAACCTTACTCCAGATGTAGATAATAAAAAGATTATACACTTCAGTAGCCTACCTTCTATATCTGCTCTTATGCTACAATTGCATATGCAGTAGTTAATAGAACAGAAATTTTATTTTAATAACCTAACTTCCTCCTCTTTGCTTTTGGTAGTTCAAGGAGCAGTAATACTGGCAGAACTTCTCTCTGCTGTGAAGCGATCATTGGCTCGAACTCTGGTCATCATAGTCAGCTTGGGATATGGGATAGTCAAGTAAGTAATTTGTTACAGGTTTGTTGTGTTCTATTTAAAGTGTTTTCACTATCGTTTTTTAATAACTTAGGGCAATATTCATCTCCCTGTACTTTGCTTGTTAAAAGGTAGGTGCTTTAATTAAGTGCTGTGAAGATCTAGACTTCTTCACTAGTAAACAGAGACATACAGTTCTGTATTGCTATCACTCTTCCTTCTGTCCTTTTCTGTGTACTGCTGTTGGGTGAGTGTCTGAGTCATTGTTGAGATACTCCCGAGTGGAATGGGAGCTTTATGTGCCTGCCTTCTGGGTGAGGGCATCTTATAGAAATTAGAGAAGGTCAATAATCACTGATAGAGGAGGGGATCTGCTTTAGGAGGCTTCTGTTGCTAGGAACGCTGCTTATCTGTCCATCCCTAACTATATTCAGTGGTAAAACAACACACTGTGTGGTAGTGGAAGCTTTTGGCAAGTGAGGGTGTACTGGGGGAACTGGTGTAGAAGTGGGATGTGACTTCTTGAAATGGTTGTAAGATAAGCATTTAACTAAGCAGGTTAACTAGGAAACAGGACTGTTACCAATCTCTCCCTTGGTCACATTATACCATAAGACAAAATTAATAGTATGCTTTGAGCACCATGATAAAATTATTTCTGGATTCGGAAGCGGCTTGTCACAAGGACCTTTTATTCACATGCTTCATACCTTGTGTGAGACTCAAGTTGACATGACTTCACTTTTAGTTCCCCACTTAATCTGAATTTCACTTTTTTTTCCTACAGGCCTCGTCTTGGAGTTACTCTTCACAAAGTTGTTATGGCTGGAGCTCTTTATCTATTATTTTCTGGCATGGAAGGTGTTCTTAGAGTCACAGGGGTCAGTAATAACTGCTTGAATTTTCCCATATGCCACAGACACTATCAGCTTTATTTACTTGTATGCCAAGGAAGAATCTAGAGCTATGCTGAAAGAGACAATGAAGTGGTTAAATTCTGAGACTGTGGATATGGATTATTGACAATTATTTCAAGTCTTGTCTATTTAGTAGGATATAATTCTGTATAGTTTGAAATAATTCTACTAGCTTTCTGATTAGCCAGGTTTCAGCCTGGACCCTTGTGTCTAATACTTTGGATTAGGTAGGGCTAGTTGCAGACACAAACGTACAGCTTGGGTCACCTGGTCATGAGTCAAAAAAACCCTACCCAAGAATAAAAAAATAAAACCAAACAACAACAACAAAACCCAAACCAACAAATAACCCAAATCCCCACCACTCCAGCTTTGGAGGCTGTGACTGGGGAAGCGTGTGTAAGTGCTGCTGCTCCTGGATTCATTAGGAAGTGCATCTCGGGATGTAGATTTCTGTTGTTCTGTTTTTGGTATTTTGGGATAAGGTTTTTAACCTGTCACATATTTGGTACTTTTCCAGTTTTTCTATGACACTGTGGCTCTGATAGCAAACTTGGCCCTGTCCATGATTGATGCCTGTATTATTTTGTGGATATCCTTTTATAAACTTCAGAATGCTACAAGCTTATTCACAGCTTATTATTTCTGTCTTACACTTAAAAAGAATGTGGTTTGCTTGTTTCTGTTAGGACTTTGATAGTTTTTGATGTAAACACAAAGGCAAGTTTTGCCTCTTTAGTCAAACTTGGGGTTGCCAGTGAAGCTTTCAGTTTGTCCGTGGATAGGGTAAAAGATTTAATTACTACATCTCTAACAAGCTGATTGCTAGATTTCTGTAATGGAAGTGGCCAGAGCAATTAATCACAGCAACTGCCTCAGCAGAGACTCCTTTTAACAGCACTAGATTGACTTAATCTGGAAAACTGCTTCTTGCCTTGCTGGTGGAGAACTGGGAACTGACAGTGTGGTATTGTCAGTTCCTCTCTGTGCATTGGGCTAAACTCTTGGTTCAAGCCCTCTGTTTCTGTAGCAAAACTCAGAAGCATTGTGGTGGTGTATTTGTGGTTTCACGTAAAATAGCCTCACCCTCCTCACTTCTGTACCTTGTTTTCTTTTTTGTTCTTATTGGCTCTCTCTTTGTCTCCAGGCCCAGAATGATCTTGCCTCCTTGGCTTTTATTCCCCTGGCTTTCCTAGATACTGCCCTGTGCTGGTGGATATCCTTCACTGTTTTACTTGATGGGGTGTGTTTTCTTTTAAATTTGTTTTTTTTGGGAAGTCTTTTGGGCTGAATTTTTTTTTAAAATAATCTTCAAGTATATATTTTTTTCTACTTCTGGTAGAGGTTATAGAACTTCTGTAATTGAGTGTTCAGGTAAGCTCCTGCTACCTACTGCTTACCTAGTTTTTCTTGCACTGGATGAATCTGTGTTAAAGCTGCTCCCGAATATAGTCTGTCTGTTATCAGTCTCTGATTGTTGAGTGTGAAAGCAGTTTGTTCTAGTGTAGCATGTCACGGCATCAGAGAAGGAACCTTTGGAGAACTGACTCAGTTTATGTTTTGAGGAGAAGGTTGCTTAGCAACATCAAACCTAAAAGTCTTTCTGTAAAATCTGAAATAATCTTGAAGTAGGTGACAAAACAGGGCAGTTCACTTTTTGGTGTCTTTACAAGCAACCATAATCTTGTGTGACTTTAGCAATTGACATTAAATACTGAACTCGTGTATAGCAAAATCCCTATTAAGTGTTCTTAGTGAACACTATTTCTTAGCAAAACCTCAAATTAAAATGTGAATAGCTTGCTGCCAAGCCATGAAAACCACAATTCTCCCCTATCATGATATCTCTTCTAAGCACTTGTTTTGTCACTGGAAATAAAATAAAAAAGAAAGTGTGATGGCACCCGTATACATTACTTGGATTTTAACTCATTTTTAGTTCAAATTTGACTTTTATTTTATCAGAAGTACAAGTGACACTTTTCTGGAGGAATGGACCATAGCCCAAAATAGATGCCTGGATACCATCTTTGTGTGACAAGAGTTATAGGTGTAGATGAACTAAATAACAGTCCTAAGGGACTGATTCTGCTCTTTGGTACCTTTGCTATAGGATCAACCTTTTCTTCTACTGAGAACTGTCTTTTTGGAGGGCTCTGGGGGTGGGAGAGCTGTTGATCATAAGATCTTGTCTCCTCATGCTAAGTCTGTGACCAGATTGTCCCTTCAGAGGCTTTTCCTTGACTTTTCATACATATTCATCAGCTTAACTCAAACAATGAAGCTGCTAAAACTTCGAAGGAATGTTGTGAAACTCTCTTTGTATCGGCACTTCACGAACACGCTCATCTTGGCAGTAGCAGGTAAGCAGAAAATTACGTCTATCAAATAAGACCACTTTCCATTTCCATATATGGCTTGATTTGGTCACTAAAGCAAATATTTAAATTTGGTGACCTTTCTGTAAATACAGTCAAAGTTCTTGGTATTTCTAACTCTTGACCCATTTCTAGCAGTGGGTCTTTGCCAAGTGTTATGTTGATATTTCAGAGACAGTGGATTATTAGTCCTGATGTTAATAAAATCAGTAGTAATGCAGCTCCTCTAAGGGAACACTTAAATCCCACTACAAGCTGCTAGGGGGCAAAAGATTATTATCATACGCTGTTAACTTCACAGAGATACTTTTTGCCAAAATCACAGTATCACTGTATACTTTCTCATTTTTAAGATGTCTGAAGACCAGATAGCTGAAGGACCAGAGTGATTCTTGAAAAAATGTATTTTTAGTATTGTAACATAATGCCCTCTGTATTCTGGAAGAATACACATTTGTGCTCTGTATTCTGGAAGAGTACAGGTTCAGTTTCTTTTTCCATTTATAATAGTGATGAACTGAACTTCAAGAACAAATCTGTTGATGCTTCCATGTGCTCTGCTATCAATACAATGAGCAGAAAACTTCTAAAGACTGTGCCTTTATTTAAACAATCAGGAAAAAAAGCACATTGCTTTTAAAGCTCTGACTGAAATTCCTTTCAGCACGTGGTTCTTAGTCAACTTAGAACACCTTAGTGGAGGGAAGTCTGTTGTAAAATTATGGTAAGGGCATAGTTTGAGTGTTGGAACTGTTGCGGGTCAAAATCTGAATGCTTAAGGCATTCAAGCAGATCAGATTGCTGGGTTACTTCACAGTAAGCTTTGTTTGTCAGCTGATAATGAAACCATGATTTGGAGGCTAGATAAAAGTAATGTAAGAAAAATAAATAGGAGTGAGGAGTTGGCTAAATACTTAATATTTGATTTATGCCTCGTGTCTCATGTGTCTGTGCCTAAATTATTGTATAAGGTCAGTACAATAAATCCATCTCTTGTTTTTCAAAACTATTAAATTGGATGTCAAGACTTCACTGTTTAGGTTTTTGGTCTTTGTTTTGGAAAGAGTCCCGTTGGTGGGATATTTGAATTGGCGTATTTTGTAGTAATAAGCAACTTGTTTGTTTGAATATTGCAGCATCTATTGTATTTATCATCTGGACCACCATGAAGTTCAGGCTGGTGGACTGTCAGTCGGTGAGTTTATACTGAATGTTTTCTACAATTGCTGCCTCTTAATAAGTTTACATTTGGCAGTGAGATTGCCACATAGTACCACATGCTAAAATTCTCACTGTTGTGAGTAATGAGCCTGTTTGACAGATGCCTGTAGTTCACCCTTGGAAAGAGATGAGGACATGGAATTTCTTGCTTCTCAATACTTTCCATTTGTGCTGCTGTATTTCTTGGCAGGACTGGCAGGAGCTATGGGTGGATGATGCCATCTGGCGTTTATTGTTTTCAATGATCCTTTTTGTCATCATGATTCTGTGGAGACCATCTGCTAACAACCAAAGGTTCAGCTTTTCTTACCTCTTCCTAAAAATACTGGGTTTTGGGAATGCTTGTTTATTCAAAGAAGTACTGGAGGGTGATTTTTAGTTACTCTATACTGATCCATAAGGATACTAAGCAGTCTGTGTAGGGGCTTGAGGAAAAGTAAGCATAGAGAAGTCACATACATAAAATCCAGTCTGTTCCTGGTTGCTGAACTTATTTAAAAAGAAGTGACTTAAACTTTTGATTATGTAGTTGAGCATCGGTCTTAAAAATAGTGAACTACACAGAATAATCAAGTCATGAATGCTGGGATAATGGATCTCTTGGGAGGCAAGAGATACAATTCTAAGATAGCTTTCATTCTTTCACTCCTGAAGGTTTGCTTTCTCACCACTGTCAGAAGAGGAGGATGATGATGAGCAGAAAGAGCCAATGTTAAAGGAAAGCTTTGGTAAGAAAAGAATTTTTCCACCTAATTTCAGTGTTAAAGAGACACTTTTGTGGAGGAAGATGTCTTCCTCTCTGGCAAAAAATTCATTACTGCTGGAAAAGTGGAATCAATTGCCATCGATACATGTAGTTGTAGAGGAAATACTGGCTTTATGTTTAGTGTTTACATTGCCAGTGTTTAATTCTGGGGTTGACACTGGAAACACTGCTACTGCTGATGTTGCTTTGCCAGGTCTAGTGGACTTTGTTTTATTGAATATGTCAAGTCTTAGGTTTGAATCCAGTCATGATGACAAGGATCTCTTGGATATTGTTGCTAGGCAGCGGTTTAGTGTGCAGTTCTCTTTTAAAATCCCATTTAAGAATTTTCATTTATTATCTGTGCTCTGAACTCTGCAATCTTAATTTTCCATGTTAAGGCCTAACATAGGAATGTCCAGTGGGATGAATATGTTTATTCATGAAATTGTCTGTTGTAACACCTCTGTTCATAAGCTGTGTAAAAGGTAGGGCCACATACCTGTTGCTGCTGTCTGTCCACAATTCATTATGTTGGGATATATTGGTGCTGTTTGCCTTGTGTAGCAGCTGAGGAGAAGTGTGTAATCCATTAGGTGCATTTGGCAAATCAGCTCTATCTGGCTATCTGTCAGGCTGGGAGATGCATGTTGCTGTTCATCTTGTAAGTCAACCAAGTGGCCGGTCAGCAGCCAGTAGGTAAAATAAACTTTGGGAGTTGCCTGTGTCTCAGAATGGTTAAGGCTGGAAGGGACCTCTGGAGGTCATCCTGTCCAAACCCCCTGCTCAAGCAGGGTTTACCTAGAACAGGTTGCCCCAGACCATGTCCAGATGGCTTTTGAGTATCTGCAAGGATGGAGGTTCCACAGCCTCTCTGGGTAACTGTGTCAGAGTTCTATGCTGCTGATGTCTGGCTTAAATAAAATGATTAGAAAATTTATATTTCCTAGGTAAAGTCACAAAATTCAGAAAAAAACAGGTATTCCACCTGTCAGGAAAAAATACTACAAGCCTTCCAAAGGGAAAGCTGTCTCTAATCATTAACTTGTCTAATTCTGCCTCTTGAATCTGATGAAATATCCTAAATGAAGATTCAGCACTTTCACTTACAGTCTATGAACAATTATAGTTCAGTTATCCCAATCTTTTTTCCTTTTGTTTTCAGAGGGAATGAAAATGAGAAGTACAAAGCAAGAACCAAATGGGAATGTAAAAGCAAACAAAGCTGTGAGTACACTCTCTCTACCTCAAAGAATATAGATTCATCTCTTCTTTGTTTGCTCACAGTAGTTATGAGTAGTTTTGCAAAGTTTTGAGCCAATAAATATGAGGTTTTTGGTTTGCTTCAGTGTGAGTAAGTCAAAGTATTTTAAGTTTACATTACTTCTGAAAAGAAAGCAAATACAGGTTTTCCATTAGATTTCCTGTATGTACAGTGGAAACTTTAGAATTCAGTCTGTTCTTTAGGAATGTTTGTGCAATCCAGTGTAGATAGAACTGTATAATACCATATTCTGATAATGAGTAATACATTATTTTAACAAGTTTGTTAGTCTCAGAGGGACAATTTTAAATAAATTGCCTTCTAGTTTTGAGATTTGTGATTTATTAGTTGAATGGGGTGATATGGATATTGTTATGTACCTGCCTAAATACTTCAGGATAATGTGCATTTTTTTTCCATGTGGCTTACAAGCCACATTCATCTAGGAGGTAGAAAATATGTCTTGGAATTTTCATGGAATTTGTGCATAAACTTAAAAGTGGAAAGAACATGTAGGAATTCATTGTAATAGCAGTCATATTTTTGTCATTGACATTGTTTTTCTCAAAGGTTGATTGCAACTGTGTACTACTTACCTGAGGATAACATGAAAATCAAACTTTTCTGTTTTGGCCCCAGGGGGATGAGAGGGTCATTTCCACAACTTCAGAACAAATGTGCTTGTGTTGTGAATTAAGAGACTGTTCACCAGATAGAAATGAGAAATCCTGACAATATGGACAATACCTTTGATAAATCTAACTTGTGCTTTTTATATTGTTTCATCTATTATCATCTTCAAAAGATAGTGTTCTTTGTTGAGAAACTAAAACTAGATTATGTAAATAACCGAAGTGTCCTGAGGTCCTCCTTTTCCTAGTCACCATTAGACTGTTAAAGAGCTCACAGCTAGTTTTTCTTTAGTCCTCTTTTTTTTTTTTTCCTGGAATGTGTTTTCTGTAATCCAGAAATCAAATTGAAGATGTTTTTTCCTGTTGTTTGTTTGGGTTTTTGTTTTTTGTTTAAATTTTTAACTGACATTTTAAATACATTACTTTTTGTCAAGTAGGTTGAGGAAAAAAAAGGTTTGCATGTGACAGCATTTTGGGGAAACTGACTTTTGTTTTCTGTTTAATTTCTGTATTTGTAGCAAGAAGATGACCTGAAGTGGGTAGAGGAGAATGTTCCTTCATCAGTGACAGATGTGTGAGTATTTTTATAGTCACAATAAAAGCAGGTTCCTTGCCCACAGGAACACAAATACATTAGAATGCTTTATAACTTGTATGCTGGGCTTCCATGAGCAGAGCCTGGCACTGGCCTCTGACTTCTTAGTGTGATGACACTTGGCTGTATGCAGTCTGTCCGATTTGAACATGCTGACTTAAAGAACACTGCCTCGGACTGTGAAACCACAGACTGCTTTGCACTTCAATAAAGTTAAATCTAGAAGACAGAACAAACAAACCCTCTTTCTGTTAAGTGCTCTGAAAAGACCCTTGAGTATCTTGCTGAATGTAAGATACCATGGAATAATGTAGTTTAGTTTACAACCGACATTCCAAATAAAGTTGAAATTTTTATGTTTCTGGCAGTATAGTCAGCTATGTATGATGTCTACATCTATTCTGCTTTTAATAACTTTTACATCCTAAAAATGCAACCTTTTTTGTAGCAAAACTGATGTTCACAGATTAATTATGTTCACAAATTTGAACAGGTATTTTTGGCAGAGGCTATGGATTGAAGTACAAAACTTTCCTTGAAGTTAGGTAAAGACAAGAAATTAGGTTAAGTTTCTAGAGGATGAGAAAGTGCATTTTCTGAGTTGAATTTGGTTTTCCCAGTTCTAATACTGATTTTTTGAAGACTGATAGGATTCCTTAAGAAAAAAAGAACTAGACTGGTGTAAGTTATGAAAGGACACTTTGAGCTCCTCTGCTGCAGGGTTTTCTGTTCCTGAGAGTCTGATCAGGGTTGTGAAGAGACAATATCTCAACAGATGGGATGTCTATTATAGGCTGGGGTACCAGTGGAACTTGTTTGATTCCTGGGCCGTGTTTTTACAACATGGTCCCATATTGTAAATTTCTTCAGTGTAGTTCAGCAGTGTTCCTGCATGAATGATGCGGCTTATTTGGAAACTTGGAAATTGTTCAGTTGATAATGAGAAGCATAGAAAAAAAGAATTTGAAACTGCAAAGGTGGTTGAGGATACTCCTTGGGCTCTTCCTTTTTTGTGTGTCTTTCTCTAATTTCTGTTAAATTGAAAGGTTTGTCTTTGTTGCTCTTCTGTGCCCTAAAAGCAACATAAGGTTAAAAATGGTTGTCAATCTTAGTATGTATTAATTTTAACTTTTTTTCTCCCCCCCCACTGCAGTGCTCTTCCAGCTCTTCTGGATTCAGATGAGGTCAGTAAAGAAGTCTTCAGTTCAAATTAGTCTTCTCACATGCCAAAGGAGTCATGAGTCAGCTGGTAAAGACTTGGCTTATCAGAACTGGACTCTGATCTTGTCAGTGCAGCAGTAAAATACTACAAGGGGGGAAGGATAGTGGGGACAACTTCTTAGAATACAAACATGTATTCCAAATATGTATTCTAAAAAAAGTGCTATATCTGCTGTGTAAGTTGGACTCCTGACTTAAAATGCATGTGAGTTTACATTTGTTGTGAATGTGCACATTCTGAATAAGGTAAACCTGCTGGGGGAAATGACACCATTGGGTATTTTATTTTCCAGGAAAGAATGATTACACACTTTGAAAGGTCCAAAATGGAATGAAGGAGTAGCATTTTGCTACTGGAAGTGGAGACGCCTCTTTTAAAGTTGCTTGGTGGAGCAAGTGCATCCTGCTGATTTGTTTGTTGATCTCAGCCTTGAAAGTTTGATGCTTTACTGTCGTGGAGGGTGTCTTGCTGTGGAAGAAGTTCACAAGGACATTATAAACCTTTCAGAAATTTGAATTTACAAAGTTGCTGCGAGTTTGGATTTTTAAGCAATTTACATATGTACTATTCCAGCACCTTCTGTAACTTTTCAAATATTTAATCTGTGAAACTAAAATTCCTAATGTCTGTTTGAGGAGTTTATATTTCAGTGTTACAATTGACAACTAGAGGTGAACTGCCTGTACCTTTTTGGGGGGAGGGTGGGGACATCTAGAAGTAAGCACTGAAGAAACAACAGACCCATTTACTGGTAGATACAACTGCTGTTGTATGTCATATGCCCAATATGCATGAGAGGGTTTTAGAGAGAAGCTCCTGTTGATGAAGAAAATTAAGATGCCAGAATGGAAATATTTGGAAAAGTTACAATGATATGAGTTTTTAACAAAATCAAGTGCAATTTTATTCATAACACTGTGTATGAAAGATTTTCTATTTTAAATGCCATTGACCTATAGGTAACAGCTGTCTAGAGCTAACACTTGCTGTTGTGGCACATCTCATTGCCGGCAATGTGGTGGATGCCTGGAAAAATTATTTGCCCCTACCTTTCATGTGTTGCATGATTTAATTTAAAACAACAAACCAAACAACACCACCAAACATCACCAAACCCATTCCTGCAGCGCTCCAAAAGTGCTTGACCACATGTTAAGCAGATATTCTCCCTTTACATGTAACATCTCCCACCAAGAAGTTGGCGCTCTTCTACGAGAATGTGGCATTGCTTTCTAGAGGGTGCAAGCACTGCCTACCTTACTTGAAAGAGGCTTTATGGGGAGTCCACAGTGCTGGGATAGTTAAGTTCCCAGTGTCTGTTTAGAATTGCTTCCCATGTAAGTGATCTGATGATGAGCTTTCCTGTCCCAATTGGTCCTATGGCCAAGAGGTACTCTGAGATAACTGTGTTTCAGTCAAAGTTTCAAACTCCTATATAATTGCATTTTGTTTCTCCTTTTGAGATTAAAAAGAGCATTTGGTGTTGTTTTTATTTTTTGCTTGGCTGTAACAGCTACACTTGCAATAACTTCCTCATGGAAACCCACTGTAGACTGTATGCAAAAGGTCTAATTCAGGTTCATAACTTTTACACCTGATGATTACCAGGTATGCAGTAGCTGGACAGCTCAGGAGCAGATGTGGCTGCTGCTGGAATGGCATAGGGAGTAAGCTTTTCTGGTTCTTCACTCATAGCTATGACAGCAGAAATAAACATGTGCCTGTACTTCATTCATTCCACTGTAAGGTCTGGTAGCTTAGCTGTAGTTCATCTTTATCAGCAATTCAAGCTGAAACGTGGCACTTTACAGTAGAGTAGCTGAGGCACAAGGACATAGTGTCTTCTGCTAGGTGTGCTGTGGGGCAGTGAACTCTTCAGCAGATGGGCAGAGAAAAAAAAGCTGTGGCTATAGCACCTCACTGCTTCTGCAGGAGTTGCTAGAGCTCTTCTTTAGGCTACAGGTAGAATCTTTTAATTAAAAAACACTTCTAATTTGCTATGCTTAATTGATATAGATGAAAAAAATGTTACCTCCATGTCCTTTTGAGGAGAGGAAATTTTGTGAAATAAAGCTACACAAAGCTTGCTATTTAATGGGGAGGGGTTCTGTTTTGATTTTTTTTTTTTTTAAGTCCTATTGTTCTGGGTTGTTTGGGTTTTTTGAAACAAATAGGTAAAAATGTTCTCTACTGGAAGCACAACAGTTTGTATGTACTATTTAATAAAGGCTAGGCAAAGAGGAGAAAGGCTTATATTGTGTCCTTCCACTTTCTTACTACCTCTTGTCTCACAGGAGGAAGTGTTAACATCTTCACAAAGCTCCCTGATTTTAGCTCTTTATTGCGCAGTATTTATAATGCAGTTATTCCCAACAGTTCTTTTTTTTCCTCTTTGAGCTTGACAATAGAGTGGAAGTCTGTCATTTGAAAAGCTAATAGAGGTAGAGCAAATAATAAATTGCTGAACAAAAGTAAAAGATCTAAACAGTTTTACTAATTGTATTCATAGTTTAATTGAATTAATAATTTAAAGACTAAAATAAATGTAGTAGCAGTGTGGTGCATGCAACCTATGACTACAGTGGTAGGTCTTAGGCAATCCTTGCTGCCTTCTGCCCTTCCATTCTTGTACTTACCTGAAGCAGTATTTGAAGTTGTCCTGAATTCCACAAGGGGCTTGTTGATCCCTTGGTTAGCCATTTTTGGTTTTCCACTTGTTTTAGCAGAGTTTCTGTATCATTGGAAGGTAGCATCTGCTTCCTAGCCTACAGCAAGTGTCTGCTGTGACTTTTTTGTAGTCCTGTGGAAAAATTGTGTGAGTGCCCAGCTCCCACAGTATAGTGTGGGCTATGACATGTGTACAGCTGCTCCTGCAATTATGATTCCAGGAGAGATGGCTAAAAGCAGTGGATGAGATGTGGGTGAGGAGCAAAGAGGGCGTGTGCAAGGGAGTTGCAGCAATGCAGCCTCTCCCGCAACAGCATGTTTGGTCAAGTATGTTGGTTCTACTGAGGGGATCTTTGCCTCTTCTGAAACCTGGTTTTGCTCCTTAAGATGTGTTGGTTCCATGACTTGGAAAAGCCCAGGAAAGCTTAATCAGCAAGCTAGCTTGCTAAAATGCCTGACCAGAAATCCTGCAGGTTGTTAACTTATAATTATGTAGACAGGGAAGACAATTCAAATTTATACCCATTCTTTCAAAAGGGTGTTGGAATTTTAAAACAAACCATGCAAACTACTCTGAAAGACTTGGTGAGCTGGAGAGAGAAAAGATCTACTCTTAGGTCTGAGATCTACAAGTGTTTTTATTAATTAAAATGATGTGGAAAAGCTGAATTTTCTTGAGGAAATTTGGCTGCTGACTTCAAATATCTTCAACAACCTGTTCCTAATAATTTTCTGCTTACAGAAAAAAATGAATGTCTGACAGGAGTTTTTTAAGAGTTCTTGTGCCTGATTAGTTCTGTATAGATTTGTGAGAAGTAGCTGTGATACTGCTGTTGCAATTGCAGCATGTGCACACCGTACAGAAAACTGAAAACATACTGAAGCAGCTGATATTGTTGACCAGCTTTTCATTAGGGTGACAAAATGTTCCTGCTGAGAACTCTGAAGGAGGGACTGAGTAAGAGGTCACAGCATGGTAAAGAAATTACAGAATCACAGTCTTGATAGGCAGTGAGTCAGGATCATAAGATGTGGTGTAGGGAAGGGTATGTTTGTCTTATTCTGCACATATAGCAGTGTGTGTTTGTAGGCTTTGTTTATCCTCCTGTTCACTTTATATGGCATTTTATGTTGTATGCTAAAGTGTGGTACTTCTTAAAACCTGAAGAGGCCAATGCCTCACAAATAATTTGCTCTCTGGATTACAACTATTTGCATGTGAAGTCGTTATTACCCAATGTTATTGAAACTTTTGTTTCCTTGCACTAAATCAGTACTCTATCCCTTTTCCTTTTGTAGGGATCCTGGGTCAAAGAGACCAGCTACATACCTGAGCTGTAACTCCTTTGGCAATTTGCAGTTTTGGTATCTGAAAAAGGGATGCGACTTAGCACAGTTTTGTGCTTTAGCAGGGTTTCATTCCTGAGCAGGAATGAAGCTGGATGCAAGAACACCATGCTTGTTCTCTTCTTCCTGTGCTTTGATCTCCCAGCACAGAGCATCCTCAGTCCCTGTTTTCTGAAACGGTGGTTTCTGTTGGTGAAAATGCTTGCAGAACTTAGTGCCATGCGTTTTTTGAGTTTGGGTTAGTTAGATAAGTTTCTGTGTCAGTGATGGTGAATGTTGCACCTCTCCATGACTGAAGTAAATGCAACTGTGGCCTACTTTGGAAGGGACAAGGTAACAAGTAAAGATTACCCCCTGGAATCTGAACTTCACCGGCCAAGTTCATAGGGTAAGTTCACTAAAGTAGAACTTATGACCTCCAAAAATAGACATTTACTTGCAAGATACACCTTGCTGTTCTCATCTGGTTGCCTTAGGTTATGAAGGCCCTTGTATACTGTGTGACTTTCCTACCCACTCTGGTTTATGTAAGCCAAAGGAAACCAAACACCTCTCAGACTGACGCTGTGGGAAGGCGAGTGTTTGCTACAGCCAGTCCCTTTTTTGGGCTATATGAAGCCGCACAAGGATTATGACAGGGTGAGGAGAGTCCCCTTGGGGACAGCATCCTGGCCGTGCCGACATGCGTTTCCCGCTCGCGCCCGAGCTGCGGGGCAGGCCGCTCCTGTTTGTCGGGCTGCCGGCGCGGGGACTGCGCTGAGGGACAGCTCCTGGCGTTCTGTCCCTGGCGGAGCGCCCCGGGCTGTGCCAAGACCCCCACCGGGCGGCGGAGGGACGAGTGCGGCGGTGCCAGCGGGGCGGGAGCAGCGCGGCGGGCGGGGCCTGCGGCGGAAGTGGCGTTGGGGCGGGCGGGGCCGGAAAAGGCGGGAGCCTTCGGGCGGCGCGGGCGCTTCCGTCGGGGTCCTTCCCGTCGGGGCTTTCCCCCGCCCCGCCCACCGGTTGTCTGTCTGCGCCGGGTGCTGTGGCAGCCGGGGTCGCGGGAGTCGCCGCCATGCACGACGCCTTCGAGCATGTGCCGATCCTGGAGAAGCTGCCGTTGCAGATCGACTGCCTGGCGGCCTGGGGTGAGCCGGAGGGGCCGCGCCGCCGTCCGAGCCGCTCCGCTATCCCGTCCCGGTCAGCCGTGCGGGGGGTGCCGTGCCCTGCCCTGCAGCGGGCCGGGGGAGGCAGCGCCGCCCGGCCCTGGCCGGCTGCACCCTGTGCGGGCGGGGCCCTGCCGCCCCCCGGGCCGGCGGGAGCGAGTCCCGTGTCCCGGCTCCCGGCCGTGCCCGCAGCGCGGGCCCCCGCTATCCTGCCCGCCTGGCTGTGTAGGAGGCTGCCAGGATTCCCAGGGCTGTAACAGGGGACTAGCTAGTTTCTTGCTAAAATGGCATCCCCTGTATTCTGACTTAAGTTTGTCTTGGAATGCTGGTGGTACGTTGAGGTCTTAGATTTAGAATCTGTTTGCATGTGTTAATGGTATATCACTGTAGGTTATATTTTTGGGCATACTTGACTGTCAAGGTTTTGGTCAAGTGACTGCACCAGCTGTCATAATGATGGGGCTTGATGAGGCTTATTGGAGCCTTGGGCAGTTACCATCAGATGTACTACCATCACACAAAATCGATAATTAAAAGAACTCCAAACACGATGGAATTGTGACCCCCACTAATCTGTTTTAAGACCAAAATTATATCCTGAATTGTAGTGCCTCATTTATACATGGATTGTTTATGCTGGAGTTATGTATTGAAGAGGATGTGAAGATAGTTTATTCCTGCATTGCAGCTTTTATCTTTTATCTCTTTGAAAGCACTGATTTTGCTGAAGTAGAGAAAAAACCTAAACCTACAGCCTTCTTGGCAGTATAGTTGTGTAAAAAGAGGTGTAATTCTGTCTCTACAACTTTTGTACCAAAAGTGGAAGAAAGGTCTTGCAGGAAACAAGACTATTAAAATGCAAGTATATTTGGTAGTGAGACAGTACTAAATGTAGAAAGAAATATTAATGTATGCTGCTTTCCTATACGATATTCAGCAAGGAAGAAATTCATTCTTATTTAATCAACCTATTCTGTGCCTTCTGTATGGTGTAGATGCTGTAAAGAGGAAGAGTTTGAAAGCCTGCCATAGAGTTTGTAGATTAAAAGGTTCTCTTTTATAAATCTTAAATGGACTTGGTTGTCCAATGAATCCAAATGTCACCTAAGCAAAGCTGCCACTATCCTTCCAAACATAGCTGACTCTTTCAGAGAGTTCTCATAAAAACCTGACTGTTAAGAAAAATCAACAGTCAAATCCAGGTAGAACTCCTTGTTTTTCTTTCTGACAGTACTTCCCACTATGCAGCACTGTTCCTCTCAGAGATAATAACATCTGAAGAATACTTTATTGCCTCTTTTGACTGCACAGAAGATGCAATGATTTGCTTATTTACCTTTGTATAAACAAGTGGAATGTGATGCCTAGTCTGTTTGTTCTGTTACTGCTTGATCTTTGGCTATCCTCTCCTGACAATGAAAGCTACTTCTGAGCACTTCCACTGGAGAGGTGATAGGAGACAGAGTAGTCACTAGAGAATGTCCTCTTTGGCATTTGAAAAAAGTTCCCAAGTACTCTGATAAATGTAACCTAGCCCCATGCTAGGCACTGTGAAGAAAATTAACTACTCTGGCCAAACCCAGCACAGCTGGGAAGGGCAGTACTTTTTGAACTAATTAGACTCTCTCCTCTGTCTTTGTAGAGGAATGGCTCCTTGTTGGTACCAAACAAGGGCATCTTCTGCTTTACAGGATCAAGAAAGACGTAGGTAAGTTTATTTTAAGAATGGCACAAAAAGTTGATTATGTTATTTTTATTTCCTGCACTTTAGGAGGCTGTAGTGATTTTAACGCAAGTGTGTTTAATTGCTGATTTTTTCCTACATAGAGTTTAATGAATATTTGTGTATGATCTTTGGTGAAAGTGTTCATACCATTTTTCAGATGTGCAAGAAAGACAGCAAGTAATGTGAGCCTTTGTTTTAAACTATGTTTTATGTCCGGTTTCTATTTGTTTGAATTTATAGTAAGCTACTGTAATTTTTATGAATACAATGTGCAAATATATGCAAAAGCAGTGCCACTTATGAGGGGTTTGGCGTTATCTTTTAATGGACTGGATTAGTGAAAGAGCATATATATTCAGTGGGTCCATGAACATCATAGATGGGGGAGAGGGATCCCTCCTAACTAGTTTTATCATGTATATACTCTTCTTCTTGTCCTTTGGCAGTCATAAGTGTTCATAGCCTATTCTAGAGATGCCACAAATAGAACTGTTCTATTTTCAGTTTAGTTAAAATTGATTTTCAATAACAGATTTGTATTTCACATTATCTGCCATTATGTAGAAACTGATGTTACTGAACACAGTAATATTGTGTAGCATGGGACAGGAAAGTAAAAATCAAATGTGTGTTTCCAAGTTCTCAGCTCTTGGAAGAGTGTTCATTTGTAGCTATTTGGATTCTACAGAATGAGTTCAGCTTGCTTTTTCTGAAAGTTGTAGGCTATCTGTTCCAGTCAGAACATGCTAGTTTTGAGTTGCTAGTGTCTTATCTCACGTGGTAAATTTCTTCCCCTTTTTTGCATCAATGCCAGGAGAGGTTATGTCATCAGAAAGTGTCTGTAAGTCTTTCTCCCTAAAACTCCTTTTAAACCCTTGTGGTGTAGTGTTTATTCCATGTCTATTTTGCAGTGATGTGCTCCCTAGCAATTTAAATTGCTGATATTTGATGGATAAAGTGTGGATAGAGACTTTATGGGTATCTTTGTATTTCTGGGTTTCAAATTACTTAGAAATAAGTCTTGTAACCTAAAATTCTGGCAAGGCAAAAATATAACTATTGATGAGGCCCTTGGATGGGTACAAGAAGTGTAATTTACATTTTCACCTAACTATGTAGAGGACCTTCTGATGCATTTAGCTATTAATCAAAGGTAGCACAGATATGTTAGAAGTGTCATTCTTCCAGTGTTATGTTTACTTTCGTAATTATTTGTAATCTACTTAGTGTGAGATGTATGCAGTCATAAGTGAGGGCAACCTCAGTTTACGTACTCTCTCAAATCTTTCTGATAGGTTGCAATAGGTTTGAAGTGACACTAGAGAAATCCAACAAGAATTTCTCAAAGAAGATTCAGCAGGTAGGAAATATCATCTCCTTGATGTGAGGACAGTTTTCTGCTGTTTTCAGCCAATAAATGAAGTAATGTACATCTTCAATCTCTGCTAAGCTTAACAAAAAAATTTCCCAAAACTATAGATTCCTCTAGTGGTGAACCAGACAGGTGTTTCTGCCCACTCTTCCCATAACAGAATAAGCTTCGTTTGATTGCTAAAGCAGAAAACAAAGAATTGGAACTTGCAGGTTTATTTTGGGCTTTGGTTAGCAGTAAACCTTCAGCTGCTCTGACTGAGAATATCTGTAAATATGATGGTAATACACAAACAGTCTGTAATATATTATTTGATTCTGATATGCAGTCCTATAGGAATGTGAATGTAATTCCACTTACTTGAAATGTAGAACTAAAGTAACTGCCAGTCTTGCTGCCACTTTCTTTTTTTTTTTGGAGAACTCGTGCTAATTGATTATATTGATTCTTGGGAAAACACCTCAAGGATTATGCAGCCTCTTTCAGCAGCACTTTGCATATCCTTTAGAAGTGTTTTTGTACTAGTAACATGCCAATTATTATAGCTTTTTTTACCTGCTTAGGTTGCAAGTGCTACATTCTAGCTTTTAAAAAGTGAGTGTTAGTTAAAAGGGTTGCAGTGACTGAAGGAAGGTGGTGCATAGATAACTGTCTTGCTGTTTTTATTATTTTGAGATCATCTAAGATGCATTTTCTTAAACTATCTATAATCAACCCTTGTTCAGAGGTTTATTTTATGAATGGAGTCATTAACAGCATTCTCCCTTTCAGATTCATGTTGTCTCTCAATTTAAAATTTTGGTCAGTCTATTAGGTAAGTGAAGAAAAACCTTTTAATATTTAATGAGCTCAATGCAGTTACTTGTCTGAATGTGGCACTCCTTCCACACACCTGCATAGCAGTCTCGTTGTTGAGAAGTCGTCCTGTGGAATTTGAGCTTTCCATTTTGCAGAGGAAGCGTTAAGTGGCATGGATTGAGAAGCAGCTTTGCTTGTCATAAACCAGCTTGGAGAACAGAGCAGTAATGCTTTTTTGTGATTAGAAATGAAGTACATTTGTGCGCTGGAGTGTGTGTATATACATACAGTTTGTATTGGCATTTGAGTATACGCATACACGTGTATGTGTGCACTGTACGATAGGGGCTAAAACTTCTGTCCAATCTTGTTTGATATAACAAACTTACTGTTAGTATGTTACACCAAATATGGTTTATATGCAGATGGCAATCTTTTACCATCCTGTGGAAGGTCTAAGTTTGCTTGGCTCTGGCTATCTTTCTTTAACCTTATGGTCTTCCTATGGGTTTTTTTTTGCTTATGTTGCTACTCCCTTCTTTATGATCTCCAAGTCTCGGCTCTTCCATGTGTAGATTCCAGCATGTGTAGATTTCTGCTGCTTGCGTCCTCGTGTGTATAAAAACCTGACCACAGTACCCTCCGTTTGCAACTGTTTACTTTACACTGATTTCAGGAGCCAGTTCAAAATGCTCTCTATTCAGACAATCTTCCATCTTGAACTCGCTCTGCTCTGGCCTGTTTGCTGGCCCTTCCACTCCCACTCCTGCTTGATTAGCACTTGTTCTCAGTTCCTGCATGTAATTTACCAACGTTGGTGCTAGTCTTCTTTTCTGCATTTTTTTGTATTTATATGTGCCTTAGCACTTTTCAGCTTTTGTGAAAACATGTCCTTTCCTTTCTTACAGCTCTTAGTTTCAGAAGTTCTTTTTATATAAACGTAAAGTGTGATAACTTACTTGAATTAGCAATGACCTCTGCATGTATTAAATAATGAATAATAATTGGAATTTTGTTTAAAACAGAAAATAACATTTATGTTCATGACCTGTTGACATTTCAACAAATCACCACCGTTTCCAAGGCAAAAGGTGCATCTCTCTTCACTTGTGACCTCCAGGTAAGGGGAGGAATACAGTGGCACAGGCGTCCTTACTGTTCGTAATAAGGATAACTTTTTCACGTCTCTGTATAGATTAGATTTGTTAATTTTGTGCTGCATGCAAATTGCATGGGTACTAGTGTTTTTTAAAATTAGTACCTACTGCATTTGCTTAAGGCAACAATTTTTAGTGTAGTCACCTTCATTTTCTTCCTCTGCTTCATAAGGCATTTTCCTGTGCCTGTTATGATTGCAGCTTTTGATAAAATACTTAACTTTGTCTTGTTTTTTGAAAGGTCCTCTTCATTATAAAAGCCATTCCCTTTTCCTAGAATTGCCAGTGTACTAGCTCATAATGGTTCCCTTGTCTAAGCAACTCCATCACTGTTTTTGTTATGTTTTTGTTTCTGTTTATTGGCCTGCAGAGTCCCAGGGTAACTGTGATAGATTCAAGCCATAAAATGGTTCCATAAGGTATAGCAGTCCCCTGTTCATGTGCTATGGTTTATTAGGTGACTCATTTTTATCCAAGTGAGTTTCTCATCCTACCATATAATTCAGAAGCCTTCACAACCAGAAGTGCTCTTCATCATGTTTTCTTGCTTTGCTCCGTGGAAGCTCAAGTGTTAAATAGTTTCTAGAAAGTACTTGGGGTTTTCTAGATGTGAAAAGTAATGTGTTTCAAAGCACCTTTACATCTGGTCATTGCAAAGTGGCTTGTTGTTTGTGTGTACAGGCACTTAACTTTCCTAGTATTTCTTGTCAAGAAACTTTTTCAATAGGTTAGAATATTAGAAGTTAATAATATTTTCATCTGTTAGTATAACACATTGTTTGCATTGTTCCATTTCCTTACCTCTCCTATACTGCACAGAGTTCCAGCTATTTATCCTAGTTTCAGGGCTGGACTGATAGCTCTCTACTTATCTTCTGTTTGTGTGTGTGTATGCCTTTGGTGCTCTTTTATTTTGTTGCATTTTCTTGGTGTCACAATCCCTGCCAAAGTTTGTTTTTAAGTATTCTGACACCACCTTCCCCCCCCCTTCCTTTTTTTAGGCAATGACCTTCTGGCAGGTTTAAACAAAGCTGCTCTTCAGTTAACAGCTTTGCTTCAGGCTGAGGATTCTTTTGGCTTTGTATTATCTTACTTACCTCCTATTTTGTGAGTGCCTGTGAGTTAGGTCTGTCTGTTTTCACAGCAATCAGGTACAGGGGAAGAGGTGCTGAGAATGTGTGTGGCAGTGCGTAAGAAGCTACAGCTTTATTTTTGGAAGGACAGAGAGTTCCATGAACTACAGGTGAGTTGTGTTGTTTCTGTAATCTAATATGCCTCAGCAGGGGGTGTAGTTGCTCTTTACTACTTGCTGTGCAGTCCCCATTACCCAGAGACGCTGCTGACTTCCAGAGCGTTGACTCTGGTTGGTTCTGCAGAATTGTAACAACAAAGCAGAAAATAAAAGTGAAAATAGATGGTTTGAATCACAGTTAATGTCATTAATACAGTTAATAAATTAAATTAAGGACTGTGTCCTATATTTTGCCATTCTGGTTGTAGTACACTTGTAAGTCAGCGGAGCATATTAGCATACAGCATCTGTGAATATATACCTAACAACAACATTATGAGAGTGGATGCACTTCTACTCGAAATTTTCCAGATATGTCATTAAGTCAGAAGATGGTTACTGACAACAAGTGTAGAGAGCTGCAGTTGTGAATACTGAAATGATAAAAATAACTAATCGAAACGGGTAGAGGCTTTTTCACCTACAATGCCCTTCTAGAAAATTACCAGTTAGCTCAGAGCGCACCTCTTTACTGTGCATGAATCTAGCCTTTTGGTTGAATACTGCCATTCCTTGACCAGTAGATGTCGGGCACGTGTGGTGGGGAATATGGTGCCTGTTATGCTCTGCACTGCCAGATTTGACTTCTGCTTTTCTCTCGTAATAGCCAGTTTAACTTATTTTCCCTGTTTTCCTCAGGGGGACTTCAGTGTGCCTGACGTACCCAAGTCTATGGCCTGGTGTGAAAACTCCATCTGTGTAGGCTTCAAGAGGGACTATTACCTGATACGGGTAAGACTGGGGTGTGTAATAGTGTTTTAAGAAGATTTGGATTGCATTAAACGCTATGGGGGCTGCTTCTGTGCTCAGGGACTTAGCTAACAGATTTATGAAAACCAGCATTTGGTACTCATAGTACCACAGTACAGCAGTCTGTCCTTTTAAACTGATGTTGTTGGGAAGTGATCTTTTGTTTGTTACTGTTGAAAACAGTGTTTGCAACTCTTGCAGAAAAAGGGCATTGGAGAAGATACATTTTGGTTTGGCAGCAGTCTGCCTAAGCTCAGCTTGCATTTTATTTAATATATTGAGAAAGGAGATAGCTCAAAGAGGGAAAAAAGACCAAGAATATCTTATCTGACATACAGTGAAGCGTAACTATTTTTTTGGTTTTGATTCTCTTGCTGAACAGTAGTAGTTTCAGTTTGATAGTCTTTAAACTCACTGTCATTATATTACAGTTTCTAGTTACGCTTCATTTACAGCTATAGTTGATTATCTTTTCTGCCTTTATAGTTGGTTTCTGCAGATATGATAGGAAAATAAGATGAAGTGCATCACATGTGTTCTTGCATGATTGGCAATACTGATCTGTAGGCAACAGGAAAACTGCACATAATTTTTGCGATCACTTGAAACTGATGCTGCTCACAGAAGAAGGGATACCTTTCTGTAGTGCTCTCCTAGATTTTATTTCTTCCAGTCTAGTTATATGAGTAGTTGTGCAGCCGCTCAAACAACCAGGGTGGAAACTACCTGTCCAAATATCTACTTTGGGTTAGTTCTGATGCTTGACAGACCTATCCTTGAATGGCTCCATTTCACTAAATAGGCAGAAAAAATATACATGTGTTTATGGTGTTGCTTTCTGCTAGCTAGCTGTTGATTTATAAAATGCTTGAGCTGTAAATGCAAGGGAAGCTGCAAGAATGTGTAGCTGGAGTTAAAGGAGAAAGATTCTCTGTTTTGGTGGCAGTGAGTTGTTTTATCAGCTCATGAAACAGCAGTTTTTCTGTGGGTTCAGTTCCCAGGACAGCATGTGGCCACAAAATGACTGGCTAGGACAGGGGAAAAAGACTAGACAGGTTGCTAGGCTTTTAGTTTGTTTTTTTTGCTGTTGTGGCAGCACTCACTCATGCCATAACAAAACAGTGTTAAAGTTTTGGCCTGAATTAAGTGTTTGGACACTTCAGCTGATATTGCTACTGTGCTATGCATTTTATGAACCTGTATGAGTGATGTGCTCAGCTACTGTTATAGTAACAGGAATACATCATCTCAGACACAAAAGTATTAATTCTGTATTCCACAATGATGTATAAGCAAGGTAAGTTAGGATATGCAGAAAATGTTATTGCTTCTCTTTAAAACTGCACTTGTCCTGTTAGTGATTAGTCTGGGATGTAAATCCCTCTAGGGCTTTTTGGCTTTAGTCTTGTTTGGCTGTGAAATAAAGGTTATTTTAAAAAACAGGTTTTTTATCTTCTTTATTATCCTAGGTGGATGGAAAAGGATCCATCAAAGAACTGTTTCCCACAGGGAAGCAACTGGAACCATTGGTAGCTCCTGTAGCAGATGGAAAAGTTGCAGTTGGCCAAGATGATCTGACAGTTGTGCTTAATGAAGAAGGGGTCTGTACTCAGAAATGTGCCTTGAATTGGACAGATATTCCTATAGCCATGGGTGAGAAGTAGCAGGTGTTTTTTTTTTAAATTTGCTTCTTTACTCTTTTGTATGTGATAAAATCATTATGTTTCCAGTATTTTGAAACTAGCTGGATTTGGAGTGTGATAGTTTCTACAGTATTTTAAGTTGTACTATTGGAAAGGTTTCGTATGTTTATTTTTGCTTCTTAGCTTTCTTTGCTTGTAGTCTATATGCCTTTCTCCTCATAAAATAGGCATATTGCCTATCTTTTATGAAGGGACAAGGTCTAAAATGGAAGGTAGTGTTTTAAAGCACTGTAGTTCTTCTGGGAAAAGAAGGGCACGTTTCAAGGGGAAAAAATTTGAAAAGAAGCTTTTAAGTTCTGGTTTATTTGAAGGAATACTTGAGAGCAATCAATTTCAATTTTTCTTGTTTTGTTAATAGAACACCAGCCTCCCTACATCATTGCTGTTCTGCCAAGGTATGTGGAGATCCGCACTTTTGAACCCCGGCTGCTGGTACAGAGCATTGAGCTGCAGAGACCACGCTTCATCACCTCTGGAGGGTATTGGATAGAACTGATTACTTCTGTTGTCAGGCTCTCTGGGTGTATGGTAGCACTCTGAAAAACTGGGGGCAGCTTTTCTAGGTCTCTCAGCGTATGAAGTAGTATTAAAGCAGTCTGTTGGGTTTTTTATGAACAGATTGTTGAAGGCCATATCTTGAGGAGGAAATTATAGAGTTGAGTGTCTTTGGGAATTTGTGATCACTGGACATATGTTCTTGTCCTTTCTACTTTGCAATAATGCTCAAGTTTCTCTTGTATCAGATTGATCCATGTGTGTATTAACCAGGATTGTATTTTTTAGATAGAATATTACTTCTTTCTCAGCATTGGAACTTAGTAACTGAGTACTTTTGTCTTGTTTTCAGAACAAATATTATATACGTGGCAAGTAATCACTTTGTTTGGCGGCTCATTCCGGTGTCCATAGCAACACAGATCCAGCAGCTTCTGCAGGACAAACAGTTTGAGTTGGCTTTGCAGTTGGCAGTAAGTACTCAAAAACTGAGTTTGCAGCGGATGTGATTGTGCAAAAGTAAACAAAAGGATATTTGCCATCTGCTTGCCTACAGCGAGTCCACTAATCAGTCAGTCATAGCGTAGCCTCTCAGCTGTCCACTTTGCACAGACTGGTACACTCTAGCCTTTTTGACTTAAGCTTTAGTTTTGGGCTACCATTATTCCATATTAATCTGTGGATTAGTTTAGATTTTGAAATATCATCTGTGTGTAAAAGCTTATCTCTTAGCTGTTTAATTGGTTACCTTCTTTTAGATTTTGAAGTCAGTTAAACTTCAAAGTCTTCAGGCTGCTTGCAAACAGTGTTGTTTGAACTTATGTGTTTTGTCACATGGCTTTTGGTTTTTTTTAGTACTACTCCTGAAACAATAACATTTTATAGGTGCTGATGCAGTATGTTTAATTGTACTGCTCTTACTGTTTTAGGATTTTTTGGTTTCTGGAAACTTCCCTGGAATTACATAAAAATGAATTAATGGCATTTTGAATTGCTGACTTGAAAAAGAATTTTGAAAAGGCAAATGAATGAAGAGACAGTTACTGTGACAGAGCAATTATATAGATAATAAAAAGTAACTTTCAAACCTTCCAGGTTATCTCCATGACACAATAAGCATAGCATCTGACAGGCACCATCAGAGATGTTCACTTTGGAAGATTATCTTTTTTCTTTTTAATCTGTCCAATATATAATGCTCCTGTTATTTCTTAGAGTGTTTCCTTCTTGTATATGAGGCCAGAGAGTTTTTAATGTTTGTTAATTTGTATGTTTGTAGGAAATGAAAGATGATTCAGATAGTGAGAAGCGACAACAAATTCACCACATAAAGAACCTCTTTGCCTTCAACCTTTTCTGCCAGAAGCGCTTTGATGAATCTATGCAAGTTTTTGCCAAGCTCGGTACAGGTAAATGCCTAGGTCAGCTTTGAGGTACCTAGGTTAGAAGGAATGAAATGAAACTTATGGGCTGTTGCTTGGGGCTTTTTGTTTTAATGCTTTGTTTAATTTAAAACAGTGGTGTCTTATGCAGACCAATCCCCTGTGAATGGCAAATAACCTAGACAGCTGTTTAGTTGTTTTTTGGTGAAACTGGTAATAGTACTTAATCAACTACACCTAGTAAGTTAAGTTAAATCAAGAGTTTGCCCTTTGTGCAGAATATATTTGTATTCTAGGCTGTTTTACAGCATGCATAGCATGTGCACAGACCCTTGAAGCTGAGTGCTTCAGCAGCTGCTAAAAGCCTACTCATAGCTTAGAATGAAAAGTAGGGAACATCTGTAGATTTGCAAAGTCATTTTACTCAGACCAAAGGACCCTTAACCCTTGGTTTAACCAAGCTGCTGAAACGAGGAAACTTTTCTGTGCTTTTGGAAGTCAAAATAGTCTCTGATGCTACTCATCTGATTTGTACTAGGGCTATTGGAAGAACACTTAAGACTCAACTGTACCACAGAATAGTGCTGAAAACTGAGATTCCTGTGCATTTAAACCTAGAACTTGTTTTGATGACACATCATATTTGCTTTGGAAAACTACAGTGAAAGAAAAGGACTGAGAACTCAAAATACTTTAAACTTAAATTAGAGGACAGTAATTTTGAATTTGCTTCAACTCTGTGAACATGGGTGTTCATTAGTTACAGATGGTGCTATTCAGTTCTTGTTTCAAAAGCATGATAAATCTTCTCTTGAAACAGTGCTTCTTCCTAGAAGTCCTGTCTTACTGTCAGAGTCATTAATGCTGGGATTCTGTAGGAAGAGCAGCAAGATAGTTATAATAATGGCTTGTCCTCGAGGTGTGCCAAGTGCAGATGTTGGAACTTCTTGTGCTTGGACTTTGAAACAGTTTTTCTCTTGCTTCTTTTGCCTTGTTTTAGCTTCTCTTCTATAACAAGTGAATTTTATTATCTAGAATCTCGTGGATATACCACTTGACTACAGACTGCTCTGTTAGAAAGCTAAGCTGATGCTAAGAGTTTACAAAAATATTATGAATGGTTACTAATCCTAGTTATTTTTTGCTTAGATCCCACTCATGTGATGGGTCTGTATCCTGACCTCCTGCCCACAGATTACAGGAAACAGCTACAGTATCCCAACCCCCTGCCAGGGCTCTCTGGGGCAGAGCTGGAGAAGGCACATTTAGCTCTGATAGACTACCTAACTCAAGTGAGTGCTCTTCTACCTGTTTTTAGAGCAGGGTTATTCAGTTTTAGCATGCTTTGTTGGTTTACTTTGTTGTAGGAAGCAGTACACCTACTCCAGCTCTGTCATGCTAGCCTTAGTGGGCTGTCTTCATGGTTAGAAACTATGGCAGCAGCTCCTGAGTAAGCAGGGGAAATAGAACATGTGAGATACCCCACAGTTATGTAGGAAACATCATGTGTGACTGGACCAAATTTACTTATGGATTGGATCTGAATACGAGTCCAGTATTTTATTTCTGGTATCCTGAAGAAGACTTGAGCACTTGATCTTTTGTTTTTGTTTGGTGACTACTGTGGAGGGCACTCTGTCCAGGAGACAGGTCAAGAACATGCATTAAAATGTGGAACAGGAGATAATGGGCAGTGTAACTTCCTGCCCTCTTTATTTTGTCATAGCTGGAACCTGAATTGTTTGGTTGCCATCCTTACTAGACTAAAAGGAAGCTTGTGTCCAAAGGGGGATAGTTTTTATGCCTAGTAGTTCAAAACCTAAATAATTTTCCAAGTGTTTTGAATGTTGCCTGACTTCTCTGAAATGTCTCTACTCAGGTTAACAGAATTTCCTTCTGACTATTTTCTCAAGACTCTGAACATTTTGCAGAACTATAAATTTGCAAAACAAATGTGTACACCTGAACGTAGTTGTAAAGTTCATCTGTTGAATAGTTAGTAACAATAAAAATTCTTTTGGAAACAATTTATTAAATCAAGTTATTAAATTGGCTTAATTTAGTCTTTTTACTTGGTGGATTATATTTTCTGAGGTGAGGTGTAGAAATTCATGGCCTTTTCCAGTTAAAATTTCATTTGATGTCCTGCAGAAAAGAAGTCAGCTAGTGAAGAAGCTAAATGATTCTGACCATCAGTCCAGTACCTCACCACTCATGGAAGGAACACCCACGATCAAATCCAAAAAGAAGCTGCTACAAATCATTGATACCACCCTGTTAAAGTGTTACCTGCATGTGAGTGTCTATCTGACCTAGAGGCTTCTCCTTTGCCACATGAGCTCTGTTGGAATTTCAGGAATATTTAAGAAGGAGGATAAGGAGCTACTTCAGAAATTCTCACACAACTGTCTGTCTTTGGTCTAAAAATGATGTGTAAGACTTGGTTAGCTAGTTTCATCACTGATCAGGAAGCAGTTTCCTGGAATAAGCAGATGTGTCTGTTTCTGACTGCTGTGTCTGTTGAAAGATCATGGGCATGCCTGTGTATTTTGAAGTTCTAAGGAATGCTTACCTCGCCTTGTAGTGTTAAATGCAGAAGAGTATGATCTTTGCTGTTGCAATGCTTTCCAAAGCTAACCTCTGTTATTGAAGGGGAGTAGCTCTGATACAGTTTTCTTTCTGTCCCAGAAATGATGGAAATGAACATGGGCCTTACTCTAAGATGTTAAACTGTCATTTCTTGTATTTCTTATGCTATAAGGCTTCCTTGCCCCCCAGCCCCTGCTTCCAACTCATGTTTTGTACTATATGCTTTGAAGTTGCACTTCCAGTGAAGTACCTTTAAGTGTTCCCTTTTTGCTTGCAGACAAATGTAGCACTGGTGGCACCACTGCTACGTCTGGAGAACAATCACTGCCATATTGAGGAGAGTGAGCATGTACTAAAGAAGGCACACAAATATAGTGAGCTGATAATACTGTATGAGAAAAAAGGTCTACATGAGAAAGGTAAGTACATGATTGGAGAGGAGAAGGAATAGAAGCATGTATTCCTTGTACTGAGTTTTTACTTGTCTTCAGTGAGCAGGCAGTATTCAGAAGAGACTGTTTAATCACCATCTGGTGATCAGATCAGTCTTTGTTCCTGTTACAGTTTGGACTGTATGTTCAAAACAAAACTTTGTTTTGTCTTCAGCAGCAGAACAGGAAAAATGCACTTTTTTGTGCTTCAAGTTGGGACTATACTTGTGTTACAAAGGAATGAATTTTTTTTGTTCTGAAAGCACTACAGGTACTGGTGGATCAGTCAAAGAAAGCCAACTCGCCTTTGAAGGGTCATGAGAGGACAGTGCAATATCTGCAGCATTTGGGTGAGTGTGAGGGAGAGCAGTATTTTTGTGAAGCTGTTACTCCTATTTGGCTTAGTGGTTATTCTTCTGTTTGGCAACTTTTAGAGGCTATCAAGCTGAAAGATATCCTTGTCATCTGGTTTGGTTTCTTGCATAATGCAAACTTCCAATATTAGTTCAGGGCGTTTTGTTGAAACTTGAGTATCTTATTGGAAAACATTCCTTATTTCTGATTAAAATTTCCATTGTTAGGAAATGGGCCGTGGTATTTTGAATTTTTTTCCAGTAATGATTTATCATCACTGACAAAAGGAAAATTTTAACTTCTGGTTAGGCTTTCCAGATGAAAGTCTTAACTTCTAGTTGCTGGTCTTCGTATTGTCTTTTATGAGATGAAAATCCTATATTATGTTGTTGCTTCCTGTGTTTAAGTAGATCTAGATAATGACTTAACAACTGTAGTTGCTGTTCAAGCATCATGGTAAAAACTTGTCTGGTTGACTATTTGTTGTGAACTCTTGAGTCATTTTTTTATTTGCTAATTCTGAGAATAGTTCCCTTCCATCCAATATTATTTCTAAAGGCAAAACCATTCAAAAGTATCACACTGCTGGTTTGGTAGTGCGTAGTTTATGAGGGAAGTACCTTTGTTCATCTCTTAGTCTTATACTGTTGCCCAAATTTGGAATTTTTTTTCCCATAATTACTTATTTTAAAAACCGCTGGCTTCAATTAGCAACATGTTTATTCAGTGATAATGCGAACATAACAATGATATTGAGACCTTTCCCATATGTGCCATGTCTCTCTAACACTTCTTACTCAGTGGTGTCATTTGGTAATGTCACTCACCTTAGAGAAATGTAAGTATGTTGTGTTCAGCACAGCTTTACAAAAGAAACTTCTAATCTTACTTAAATAGTAATTCTGTCATCTTGATAAATTCATCTCAATTGACTTATGTCAGCTGTTCATTTGTTTTACCTGAGATTGCTGAAGGCTAAGACCTACAGACTATAGACAAGTTATCTGTAATACTTTTTTTAAATCTTGGCAGCTTGCTAAATTTTTTTAGACTTTTGGAGCTTCTCTGTTTCAGGACCCCCTGAAAATTGTTTTTTTCTGTATTATTCTTGGTCAGCTCTTTAAAACTGATAAAGGATGTTTGTTTACTTCAGAATAGTGAAATATAGTGGAAACAACATAGAAAGTTGACTCTTCCTGAAAAACGGAATGTTTTACACTCATGTCACTTGCAAAATTTCCCCCCAAGTAAATAACAGAAACATAACACTATATGTGTGGTTGTTTTAGCTACACTGCCCATTCTTGGTTAATTGATGAGTGTTATTTCTGGGAGTCCCTAAACTAAGATGATAAAAGCATTTCAGACTATGGGGTTTCTCCACATTTTTCCCTTTGCCCACCCCTTTGGTGAGACTTCTGTAGTTATGATCTCCTAATCTGAGCAGTAATTGTTTTTTTTTGTTGTTATTATTTTAGTTGTATAGGGTGTATTTCTAGTTGCTTTCACTTATATTTTGAGTGAAATAAAAACTCTTCCTCAGTTGACTCTTTTCTATAGATTTTTGTGGATTGAATGAAATACTCCGAAATAGTTTTTAAGTAATTACAGAAAATTCCTCCAGGCTTGTAGCTGTGGTCTTTTAAGTCATAAAGTGTGTATTACTTATGTGTATTTGATACTTACCTTGTGTCAACAGAGAGACACAGTCATGTTTTCCTAGCGTGTTTTATTAGTTTTGTGAACCGAATTGTCCAAACAAAAGTATTCTTTCTAAAAGGGCAGGTCCTACATTTTCTTAAAAACTGAGAAGCTATTAGATGTCATGTAGTTTCTATGCTAGTTACTTCAGTACTATGAGGCTTTACTACTTGTTTTGAAGTATGTGACCATTTGCTATAGAAGTCATTAGACTGACAGGCTGGAAAATGACTGAAGGAAGTTATGTAAGTGAAAAGTACAGTGCTTTCTCTACCCTACTAAAAACAAGTTTTAAAGGGAGACTTGGAATGTGATTAAGACAACCAATCTTAGTTTTGGGCTGAATTGTTTGTGTTTGGTAGCGCTTAGTATTTGAGTTAATTTTTGTTTCTGTTTGAAATCATGTCTGTGAAGTAACGAAATTGTGCATTTAACCTGGAATGCACAATTTGCTTGACTTGAGCAGGGAGAAAAACAAATTGGATTCTTCATCTAAATTAAGCTTGGCTGGCTCTGAAGGCATCTGATTGTGTTGTGAGTAGATAGATGCTTAGGATTTTAACACTGAGCCCTACTGCTTTTTATATTCCAGGCACAGAAAACTTGCATTTGGTATTTTCCTACTCAGTCTGGGTGCTAAGAGATTTTCCTGAAGATGGACTGAAGGTAAGTGTGGTTGAAACAGGCACCTTGTCGTTGAGATTCTTAATGCAGTATATGGAATTGGGATAACTTAACGTAAGAAGCTGTGTATTAATGCTAAATCTAATTAAAGATATAATTTGTGTTTTCTGTGTTCAGTACTGTGGTAATGTTAGCAGTAGATAGAGCAGGACAGTCTTTCACTTTTTCTTACTCTTATCCATTCTTGGAATACTTTACAACATTTAATGTTATTGATGTCACACTTTTTACACAAGAGCCTGAGTATTTAAATGTCAAATATTGATTTGCCTTACTTATTTTCTTTTTTCTTTTTGATATAAAATTGACTCCCTGCATTTGGAAGATGTTGGGCTCTGTAAGAGAAGAGTGTTCACTAAGGCAGAAGTGGGGATGTGTGTTAATCTCTTCAGATGTGAAATAACTTCTCAATGCCTGAATAAACTGCTCAGATTTTTTTTTTATACTTCTTGTGCTTACCTTTGGCATGTGTGATGATATGCTGGGCTTCAGTGCCTCAGAGAAAATACACTGTGGCACTTAAAAAACCCCCACACCTTTCTGTGAATAAAATTTTGTTTAACAGATATTTACAGAAGACCTCCCTGAAGTGGAAGCTTTGCCACGGGACAAAGTGCTCAGTTTCTTGATAGAAAATTTTAAAAGCTTGACTATTCCTTATCTGGTAAGAACTCAATCTCTACTAGTGCATTACATTCAGTACAAAATGTTACATGTAAGACTGTAGTTCTCCAGGAGTCAGACGCTAATGCTATCTCACAGAATGCTAGCCTTGCCATAAGTTGTCCAAAAATCCCATAATTGAAATTTTTGAAATCCTGAAGTCAGGATTGGTAAAGGCAAGCATAGAACTGTTGCTTGCTTATAATAAGTTACTTCCCAGAGTAAGTGTCTGTAACTGAACCTTAACATGTATTCACAGGAACACATCATTCATGTTTGGGAAGAAACCGGTGCAGACTTTCACAACTGTCTGATCCAACTGTATTGTGAGAAAGTGCAGGGCTTAATGAAAGAGTATCTCAATTCTTTCCCTGCAGGTATGTTTAGCCTTTTCTGGTGAGAAGACTGGGGGTATGGGACAGCACAGGGGAGCCTTCATATACCATATTTTTTTTTAACCTTCCCTGTTCAACCCCCAGTGATGAAGGAACTGGAACAACAAAAGTTGTGGGTTTGTAGGGCAAGCTAGTTTATTGCCTCCCAAGAGATTTTAAGGGGTCAAGCAACACTTTATTCATAATTAAGTAGAATGGCAGCTACTGCTCCCTTGAATCCTGCATGTTAAGGGTAGGGAAGGGTTTTGAATAACTGAGTATTGTTTTATCCAGCCACTTGATGTGTTTTAAGGAGCTGAAATAATTTGGCAGGTACACTGCAGTCCCAATCCACGTAACAGTTCTATCAGCATTTAGTTCCTCTTCATGATGATTTGTTTGTTCATCTTCTTCTGTGTACTAGTGTAGTAAAATAGTTGTAAGAATTTAGCTTATGTTGTTTTCTTCCATATAGATAGAACTCCAGTGCCTGCTGGGGAGGAAGGAGGAGACTTGGGCGATTACCGTAAAAAGCTTCTACTTTTTCTGGAGAAGTCTAGCTGGTATGAACCTGGTCGGCTAATTAGTGACTTCCCCTTTGATGGTGAGTTCAGTTTTCATAGGTTAATTAAACCCTAGCTTATTGCACTGTACAGCAAAACCTCCTCACTTATTGTAGAATCATGGTAACTAGAAACAGACAAGATGACTGTATCTGTAGTTGTAGGCCACTGGTGTGTATACTGTTTGCTGGCACAGTTGGGTTTGCCAGTCTCTGCAGGATTCCTGTAACTGTTGACCTAAGACCTTGTGGTATCTCCTATCACTTAAATATTTAGCCTAACTTTTTGATGAGCCTGAATTTTTCAACAGGTCTGAAGATTGTTTCTTAAGGTTACTTAAGAATTCATTAAAGGTTTCTGAGACACGTGTGAAGTATAGACTTACAGTCTCAATGTAATTTAAACTGTAGTCTGAGCACAGATTTATAGTTCCTACTGATAGTCTGATCACTAATTGAACTTTTTCTGTCATTTCTCTGTGTAGCTATTGACTTAATCCTTCATGCTATCACTAGGTCTCCTAGAAGAACGTGCTCTGCTCTTGGGTCGTATGGGGAAGCATGAGCAAGCTCTTTTTATTTATGTTCATATTTTGAAGGACACCAACATGGCTGAAAAGTAAGGATTTCTTTATTTTATTTTATTTTTTTGCAAGTCTTAGTTTGCTCACTTTCCTATGGATGTGTAGTGAAATGTTTCTGTATATGGAACATGAACACTCTTAAGTCTTCAGGATTTTCTGGGTTTCCATGTTTTTTTGACTTTTAGGCTTTTCCGGGTATGTGTTCATTACAGATGCTCATTCTGTCCCCTTGAGGTTTACCTTTTCATGCTCTTCTGTCATTGCACTTCAGAGCAATATGACTGTCATCAATGGGTTTCTTGTTTCCATCTGTCCTTAGCCTGTGAACTTCTGTTGTTTTGCTTCCTTTCTCTTTGGAGAGACATTCATTAGCCCATGTGCCAAGTTAGGCTCCTTCAGTTAGGCAGAATCTTCTTAGTAAAGATACGGTATTTTTCTAGATATTTTGTGCCGGGGAACCTCCTGAGTGAATCAGAAGTACTCAGGTACTCAGCTCTGGCAGGTATATGTGAACGTTGGGGCCTATTCAATGTAACTTCTTTTCAAGATAGTTTCAGCAAATGCCTGTTACAGGGCCTTTGGCCCCAGTATGCAGCGTACTCTAATGAACAGCTTCTCTTTGTGATCTGGATACACTAATTAGAAACATCTATGCATGTGTTATTATGCTGTGATGTGTTGATTGGAGATATCTCTTTTCCCCCTTTTTCTTACACAGCTAAATTAAATTTGACTTCTGCATTAAAGGTTTTTAAGTTGATTGGTAGTGGGAGATTTGCACAAAACCTCCCTTCTCTCAGCATTTTAATGCAAAATAAATGGTGTAATTTTGCTGTGCAATTTGATTAATTGATCCAAATTGGATGTATGGCTACTTAACTTGATGACTTCAGTAGTCAAAGCATTTAAATGTTAATTTCTGTGAACTGATTCTATGAGTTCTAAAATTGTTTTTGTATTTTACTTGATTCTTCTCTGTTCTAGCTACTGCCATAAACATTACGACAGAAATAAAGATGGCAGCAAAGATGTAAGTAGCTTCATCTTTGTAGTCTTCCTGTTCAGTAAGGATGTAGCAGGCCATTCATACCTTTTTCAGGACTTGAAAGTTTTGGCTCTGTATAGACTTTTTCGGGGTTTGTGTAGGGAGCCTGTGTATAAGCTCTTAGAATTTAGGAATTACTAGATGACTGATTGGGTTCTTTTTGGTTTTGTTTGTTTGTTTGTGTTTTTAGTTGTTTGTTTGGTTTTGGGGGTTGTTTTCTATTTATTTTTTGTTGGGAATGATACTGTATCATTGGAGTTATGATGGAATTCAAAAGACAAATTACAGTGTTTGTATTCCACGTACATCTAGAGAAAAGATAGGGGTAAAAAGCAATGAAGTGTTGGTTTCTAAACGCTGTAAGTGAGTTCTGAAAGATGGATGAGGGAGGCATTATTAACTACTTTTATAGAAAATTTTCAGAATGCAAGTCTTGAAAGGCCTTGAACATCATTGGTACTTTTCAGGTTGTATTGTTTTAAGGTATGAGCTGTTTATATGAGCGCTTCAGAATTTTGGATGCCATAGGTACAACTTAGTACCATTTCTGGGTTCTGCTAGCACTGTCAGTTGTGGATACATGTACTGTTTTCAGAACTTTCCTTTTGTGTGCAACAGGTCTATCTGTCACTGCTCCGGATGTATCTCTCCCCACCTAGTGTTCATTGCCTGGGACCAATCAAGATGGAAGTACTGGAGCCTCAAGCCAATCTGCAGGCTGCTCTGCAGGTTTTGGAACTACATCACAGCAAACTGGATACCACTAAGGTAAATCAGACCTGTAACTACTCAGTTTGTACTGTTGGCAGAAGATTACAGAATGTACTGGAGTAGGCAAGTTAGTGGATTGTAAGTGTCAAGCTAAATGTGTCAATTTCTATTGTTTTGGTCTCTATTCCTTTTTAATTTTTCCTAACTTAAGTATATTTTGTTCCAGGCAATAAACCTACTCCCAGCAAATACACAGATTAGTGAGATTCGCATCTTCTTAGAGAAAGTCCTTGAAGAAAATGCTCAGAAGAAAAGATTTAATCAAGTGCTCAAGAATCTTCTCCATGCAGAGTTTCTGAGGGTAAGCACCCAGCACCTGTCATTTATTGGAACGGTGTTTTAAAACATGTTCAATATTTAAATTAACTGTTCCTTATACGGGATGTGTGTCCTCTAGATGGTGCTGTAGTGCACTTGAAATGTCACCCAAGTAGATTGAACATCCCAGCAGGAGATAGTGTCTACATTCATTTTAGTTTGGATGAGGTGCCTGTTTTTCCAGTAAGTCTCTGGACTCACTGTGCTGTGGTGTGCATTGCAGAACCATCTCAAACAGCTTGGACTGGATTTCTTTCAAGTGAACCAGGGGAAGCAGTTCAGTAGTTCACCTTAACACCTCTTAATGGTTAGAATGCCTTAGTCTTTGGACTAAGTTGAAAGTAAAATCCTGTAATTCGTATAGTGTGTGTATGGGGTGTTCAATACTACCTGCTCTGCTCTACAGACCTGCTTTTGTGCTGCACAACTTGGTAATGTGGATACTGAGAATTAAATGTTTTGACAGTATGCAGTTTCACCAGATTAGAAGGCAGCTGTAATGTGGCAATAATCTTTAAGCAAGTTGGGTTTTTTATCCTTCTTTAGGTCCAGGAGGAGCGGATCTTGCATCAGCAAGTGAAGTGTATTATTACAGAGGAGAAGGTGTGCACTGTTTGTAAAAAGAAGATAGGTAACAGGTGAGAGAGCTTGGTAAACTGAATCAAATATGGATCTGTTACTCTTAAACTAAAAATGTTGGAAAAGTTGAAATGTGTATATATCCAGAGAGAACAGCAGTATGAAGGAGCTATTTGAAGACTGAATTACAAATTACATTGCTCAACTGGGTGATGGGGAATACCTCAAAGCTTTACTCAGTGAATTTACTGCAAGAGTTTAATCCTGCTTTCAACAAAGGAGTATAAAATCTCTTCAGAAACTCCCTAGAATTCTTATTTCACAACTCTAAAAGGCTTAGAATCATTCTGCTACTACCTGCTTCTTAACTAGAATTATGAAGGATGATGTAAAGAATTTTAAACTAAGATACATGTAGTTTTCTATATCTGATGGCTTTGTAGTTCTCTGACTGATTTACATTTTGTAGCCTAATTATCGTAGGATATCTAAAGGTAAAACTAATTTACTTGATTACCTGGATGCCAATAACTTTTCTTCTGCTATTCCTAGTAGGCAATTATGGCTTAGTATATAATGTAAATTTTACTTGCACTTTTTCCTCTTTGAACTCGAGTGAAATGCCACATGACTAACTTAGTCATTGTTTCTCTTGTTGATGTGAACTCTTCTGAGATTTCAGTAGCATTGACAATGACAGGAAAGGTTGTTTTTCCAAAATATTTTAATAAACATAGGTCTAAATATTGCTGTGTATATTAAGTTTTTTGCTCTTAATGCGTATAGCATGTAGCATCAGAATTTAAGTTTGCACAGGCAGTATTGTTTTTGTTTTATAGAATTTTTCTAATGCTGTTAAGTTCAACAAGATTTTGAAGGTCAATCATGTCACCCAGTCCTTAACTTGTTACCAAGTTGAAGTAAAGTGAAGTGTGCCTACAGAAATGAAAATAGATCCAAAAAAAAAACCAAAAACTAACACCAAAAAAACCCCCTGGCTTACAAAATCCATAGAATTCTTTTGTCTGGTTTTCTCAAGAATATATTCAGGCTGTAATTTAAGAAAGAGAGAGTCACTTCCATGTAGGTGTCTCTTTCTGATTCTGTACAATTTAGATGTTCTTGTTTGAATATGGAAAACTGTCTGTATTGACAGCTGATTTTTGTGTTTTGTTCTCTTTACAGTGCATTTGCTCGATACCCTAATGCAATAGTTGTGCATTATTTCTGCTCCAAAGAAGTCAACACACTCGACACCTGACCTTGTCGTGGTCAATAATTCCAGCACTTATATGAAATTCAGTACTGATGACTTAAGAAGTTGATGTGTCTGAGATTTTTGAGGCTTGTTGCTAGGTTCTCTTACACTGGGTAGGAGTCATTTGTATATGTGGACTGACTGTACCTACCTGGCAATATTGATTTACTAGAAAATTACTTTAACCAAGTTGTTACAGTGCTGGCAACTACTCTCAGTACTCAGATGAAGAATAGAAATTGATTTTTGTAGTGAGTTTTGTAATGCACTCCAGCCTTGCAAATGAACTGTTAGACAACTGTTGGACGTTCACCACAAATCAAGTTTTACAATAAAACGTACTTTCTTAGGGTGAAAATGTTGTGATTTGGCCTTGTATGTAAATATTTATTAAAAAAAATAAAATTCCTCTAAAGTCTGTGCAGCTATATCAGCATTGCAAGGAGATCATCAAGTGTTTGCCATAGAGGAGGCTTCTGTGTCTATTTCTAGACATAGAAAGTATAATTTTACTTTCATCTCAGTGACAGAAATGTTTAAGTGCTGGCCAAAGGACTCTTTATTGATATTCAGTGTTATTGCCTGACCTTCAGATAAAAAGTTGTTTCACAGGAGGTAGTCAGACAAACAGTAGATATCACTAGTAAGCTTTTTTCTTTTCGCTTTAGTTTGAGAGCTTTAAATTGAAATAACTTGTGTGTTGTTTGCCCTGAATACGTTCCCTCTTAGCTTTAGTGGAAGCTCAAATACTATTTGAAGAAGTTCATACCTGCACTCGTAGCAAAATACAGAGAACACCCTCTAAAGCAATTTCTGGAAGGAGTGAACTCTGGTTATTGCTTGAGCTTCTAGACTATGCTTGAGATTTATGTATATAAATTCTTTAGTCTCTGGCTCACTTTCCAGCACTGAAGTAAAATCCAGACTGTTTCAACATATGTCTATTTTAAGTGCTCTAGAACTGTGTTCTGCTCAGGCTGGTACTGTTCTTAAATTACTCTTGGGCCAGAAGTCTTAACACAAGAACTAGATTGTACCACACTCACTGTAGGCTGTAATATTTTTGTCTAACTTATTTTTTCAAAAGCATAAAATAGCAGATTGGTAGAGGGGTATTAAAATGTTTGGTGCAGAAAGAATCTGTGGAGAGTGATAATGAAAAGGCAGCAGTAGCAAATAACCCAATAGAGTAGCTATTTGACTCCCGACACCTTGCTCTAGCAACACTTTTATAAATATGGTATCATTAAATAGTATGATCATGGCATGTAATTACCAGATATCACATCTTTATGAATACATCCTGTAAGCCTAAGATGTAGTTGGATCTCAGTTAACATTATAGGTTTACTTAAGCCTTTATGTGAATGTTTTTTAGGAACAGATCTGCTGTAAGCTGACGAGTCCTAATTCACTTTCCCTTGCCAGTATTAGTAGTTTCCCTTGATAACTGTTTTTTGCTTTTCCACATGTGTTTTGTATTTATTGTTCATATATTGTTCATGCATTCTTATGGATTTCTTTGTCCAGTGTTTTGCTACTTCTGTACTTGGATGTCTTTCTGCAGAGGCTGGGTAGAGGGACTCTGTGGTGTTAATGTTTTTAAACTTGTATTTCTTCTATTTGAAGAAGAGAGCCTAAAAATACTTATACTGGATTTGCACATTCTGTATAGATCTTTATATACTGGTTCAGGTACAGAGGGAAGGTGGTTTGGGAGAGCTGTGTTTACAGGTAATTGAGAATGAAAGAAGGGTATTAAAAAAGACCCTGTATTCTTTGTATACAGATATAACAATATTACTCTGATTTTTACCATTAGAATGAGTTTTATTTACCTTCATTTTCTGTTACCAGGAGAGCTGTACTCACATATGAAGATCTTCATTGTGCTCTTACTTACAGGTCTAAGGTTGTGCCTCTCTTCATCTCCACTGCATACCTTTTACAGAGATGTGTTTCGTGCTGTAATTTGTTTTTCTTGGTTCATATAGTGTGGTTTGGGTTTACTAACCATACAGCAGGTTTATCTAAAGCAATAGGTTGTAATAAATATTGTGAAGCAGTGTGTGTTTCAGTCATTGTGCAGTTAAGCTTCTCTGGGCTGCTGTAGATTTTATTTTCCACTTTGTCCTGGAAGTCAGACTCAATGCAGGGATTCTCAGTATCCCTTCCACTTTAATATGTGTGAATGAAACGTAGCCATGTCATCAATTCTCAGCTTAGGTTTTCAAATCTACAAGTTTATAGATGCTTGTGAATGTTCTCAAAATCCTACTAAAACCACTTTTGTATTCTCTCTTTGAATAATGTTTTTGAAAGTCTTATGCCATTAAATATGTACTTATTAGAGAATGCTAAATTTACTGACAATTTTTTTTTTTGAGTGGTGATATGCTATTTTGGGCTGGGGGAGGGATGTTGAGCTCTGTGTGACCAAATCAGGAAATGTTTAGATTCACAGGTTTGCAGCTGTTTAAAGTGTAGGTCACAGACTAGTCTAGTGTTGGAAGTAGAATATAGATCTTCAGTTTTCCCATTCTATAGAAATGGGAGATACCACCACAGAGGAAGTCTTTTGTCTCCATGTTACAGAATCACAGAATGGGTAAGGTTGGAAGGGACCACAGTTGGTCATTTGGTCCAATCTCCCTGCGCAAGCAGGGTCATCCTAGAGCATGTAGCACAGGATTGCATCCAGATGGTTCTGAATATCTCCAGTGAGGGAGACTCCACAACCTCTCTGGGCAACCTGTTTCAGTGCTGTGTCACCTGCACAGTAAAGAAGTTCTTCCTCATGTTCAGATGGAACTTCCTGTGCATCAGTTTCTGCCTGTTGCTTCTTGTCCTATTGCTCAGCACCACTGAGCAGAGCTTGGCTCCGTCCTCGACTCCCTCCGTTTAGATACTTGTATACATTGATGAGGTTCCCTCTTAGTTGTCTCTTCTTGGAGGTGAACAGGCCCAGCTCCCTCTGCCTTTCCTCATATGAAAGATGCTCCAGTCCCCTGATCATCTTCATAGCCCTCCACTGACCTTACTTCAGAAACTCCATGTCTCTTGTGCTGGGGAGCCCAGAACTGGACACAGCAGTCCCAATGTGGCCTCACCTGGCAATGCTCTTCCTAATACCCCCCCAGGATTCCATTGGCCTTCTTGACCAGAGGGACACACTGCTGGCTCATGGACAGCTTGTTGTCCACCAGGACCTTCTCCACAGCACTGCTCTCCAGCAGGTCAGATCCCAGCCAGTACTGGTGCAGGGGGTTATTCTTCCCCAGGTGCGGGACCCCACATTTGCCCTTGTTGAATTTCAGACAGTTCTTCTCTGCCCATCTCCAACCTGCCAAGGACTGCACAGCACTCTGAAGGACTGCACAGCACTCTGGGGTATCAACCACTCCTCCCAGCTTTGTGTTGTCATCAAACTTGTTGAGGAGGCACTCTGTCCTTTCATCCAGGTCATTGATGAATAAATTAAACAACTAAGTATATTGATATTTCTGGAGAAGACCAACCTGCCAAAAAAAAAAAACAAACCCGAGATCAAATGCTGTCCTTGATTGCATCCTTTCAGATTTTCATCTCTTCTAGTTATGCACTCAGCTCTCCTCATAGTGTTGCTAAAGGGACCAAAAGGGACTCCTTGTGATATCCGGACACATTTTAAATACTATGTAGTGTATTTGATGATGGTGTCATTTCATGCTTGCTGACAAAAAAAGTAAGCATGACATGTATATAAATCTACCTTTACCAGTGTGGACATGTTAATACAAGCAGAAGTAAAGTTACTGGGTATGAGGCTTTCTTTGCCTCATCTTTTGATGCCTTTTTACTTACTTGTTTTCTTGCTAGGAAATGACAAAAACAAGTAGTTTTTCTTTGGATATGAAATTCACTGACAGCAGTGTCTGTAGATGACTAAAACTGCACACAAACACTGTTAATGGGTGATCTGTTGTTGACTATGAAACAATTCTTAAGCACATATTCTAAAGAGAACATATCAGTTTTTCTTGACAGAGAAATTCTATAAACATGAGATCCTGTGCTGAGAGATTTTATTGGAAGAGGAGCAAGAATGTCAGAAGCAGGTAAGCCTAATTTTAAATGCAGTTGGGCACTCACAAGACAAGATAGAGGCTTTTTATACTGCCTGTAATAAACTTTAGAATAAATGTGATTTCTCCATGTTGCTGTGCTATGTAAGGCCACCTCCATTTTCCTGTAATTTATGGTCAAACTATATTAGATTAAATATTAAAAAAAAATCACACCGTTCTGCAATTTTTTGAAGATAAATAAAACCTAGTTTGATAGTAATAGAATGGTTTGGGTTGGAAGGGACCTTAAAGATCTTCTAGATCCAACCCCCCTGCTGTGGGCAGGGATGCCGCCCACTACTGGATCAGCTTGCTCAGGGCCCCATCTAACCTGGCGTTGAACACTTCCAAGGATGGGGCATCCACAACTTCTCTAAGCAACCTGTTTCAGTGCCTCACCATCCTCTGAGTAAAAAACTTTTTCCCAACGTCTAATCTAAATCTACCCTCTTTTACTTCGTTCCACCTTGTCCTATCACTATCTGCTAGTGTAAAAAGTTACTCTCCCTCTTTTTTTAAGCCCCTTTTAAATACTGTAAGGCCTGTAAATATATAAGCCCTTTTTAAATACTGTAAATTGGGTCTCCCTGGAGCCTTCTCTTATCCAGGCTGAACAACCCCAACTTTCTCAGCCTGTTTTCATAGGAGTGAAGCTCCTCCAGTCCTTCACCTTCAGTGCAGTGCAGAAAAGCAAATAACTTTTCCAGCCCAGTTTCAGCCCCACTTGGTACCACACAAGACCATTACAGCAGTTGCTGACTGTTTCAGAATGGATGTTTGTTTTTTGCCTCTGTGTTGACTTTCAATTCTGTGGATTCCCTAACTAGCACTGACTTGTTTATGTTCTAAATTTCAGTGCTTATGCTTTTATTAATTTTCTTAAATTCTGGTATGGTGACTGACACTAATGACAGGAAATGATTAATGAATGGGACCTTGCTGGGAATGTGTCACATTCTCATGTTTGTCTGGAGCTAGTGACATGCTGCATTACTGGCTTTCATACATTTTCTGCCACTTTTTAATTGTTGAAACACTAAAGTTTGTCTTCTGGTCTCCAGTTTCTGTTTATGCTCTTTAATAAAAAAGCTCCAGCAAGCGAACTGCCAGCAGCTGTTAATAAACTAATCACTCCCAGTAAACAATTTCTTTTACGACTTAAATATTTTTTAAGGCACGATAGACTCCTAAAAAAATCTACCCTATCTCTTGTACAGTTTTTTGAGAACCTTTGGTGGAAGAATCAAGACTGTGCTGTATGTAAATGAGGAGAAAGGGGATACTTGTACAGGCCGCTCACATAGTGAGAGGTGAGACATAGTGGGGAATTGATGTTCTCTGAGGCACCCTATTGCACACCAAATTGTGGTGCCTTCACTCTGGCCTCCCTGAAACCTCTCTGGACAGCTACAGTCAGTGACAAATTTGCCTTTGCTTCAGGCTGGTAAGATGGGAATTTATTTAGAAATACTCTGTTAGAAACTCTGAAAAGGGTTTAAAACAGTCAAAGGCATGGATCAGGTTGCTGTAACTCTCAAAGAAGATCTGAACTGGGGGTTTTGATGTTGTGGCTTAATCACAAAGCAGTGCTTCCTCCTACCCAGGCTTCCCTGTTTGGTGCTGCTTTGCTGCCCTTATCTTATACCAGTATTTGCAAAACCTGCTGACAAGGTTTTGAACTGGCTTGTTTGGCAAGTGCGGGCCACACCTCTGTTTCTCACAGCTGGAGTGCAGCCCAGTCCTGCGCAAAACTTCAGTCTGTAGCAAACAGCGCTTCACAGCCGGGCATCCAGGAACTCTCCTTATTTTCTGGGTGTCCCTGTCAGATTTTCTGCAGAGACAAGAAGACATTTTTCCCATGTTCCATAAGGTGCTGCGGGGCCCGCTTCCACCCGGAGTGCTGCCTTTCCTGGCAGCTGTGCTTTTCCAAAGGAAGGAGAGGAAAGAGACTGGGTTTTATCACTGGCGGGTAAGACAAATCATAGTGCTGTCTTTGAGATGGCTTTCCTTAGCCAATGTGTTCAGTAGTGACTTCCTGTTACTGCACGTGTGGAAAACCAGTTCTGTACTTCCACAGGAATTAAAAAGTTTGTTGTTATTTAAAATTTACCCTGAATGATAAAGCTAATAGAGATGCCAGGCTTTTATTAAATTTAGGATCTGTGTGAGGAAATGCAGATCAGGTCTGCGTTTCCTTAGTTTTTGGGGAACACAAGCTGATGCCAAGTACTTTTTTAGGGGGAGAATACTGCACTTCTCATTAGTAGAGACAAAACCATGCTTATGTGTTTTCTTACAAAATATCCTTGATTACAGTTCTCTTCCTTTATGCTCTCTGTCTTATCCTACAGGAATTAATGGTCTTAAGTAGAGAAATATTAATAATGATGTGAGTGCCTGTTCAAAATGCAGTGCAACCACAACAGATAAGGTGGTTTTGATGTGTTTGTCCTTTGACTGGTGTGAAATCATTTCATTGTGTAATATGGTCTGACCAATAACCTCAATTTTGAATTACATTAAATGTTTGTGAAGGAGCCTTTGACTAGGAGATCTGATCTGTAATCTGATCACCTGTGTTGTGTTGTCTCACACTAATCCCTCAATATACAATTTAAAATTGAGATGACCATTAAATGTCACAAAATGACTTGCTGCCTGTATGCCTTTCTGTACTTCTGCTTGCTGTATGATAAAAATTGTCTTGTTGACTTTTTAATGTTGTTGTTTAGTACTTGGGAAATCAGGGTAGAAGAAGCTAGTGTTAGCCTCCATTAACGTGCAAACCACTGAATGTTATATTTCCCCTTAAGTACTTACTATACAAATAAAATTTAAAAAGTTAACACTACTTAGTGAAGTTGGGCTGGCTGGTAGGAAGAGATTTTGTATTGTTTAATTGATAGCAATTGAGCAAGGAGTGAGGCAGCAGATCACCCTTTTGGCTTTGTAAGTGAGTTTAACGTGATCAGATCTCTTTAATTTTCCAGAGTTTAGCTTTATTTTCACACTTCTAAAGGCAAACAACAATAAACTGAGAGTGACCCCAGTGTTTGCCACTGCTGTTGTGTTACTGAGCTGCTAGCACTACTTGTAACCTGACTAACTATAAATCTTGCCTGCCAAAAGATTATGGTTCTTAAGGCTGCATCTGGAAGCCTCCATTCATGACTGCAGATACACACTCTTGGGGGAGGAGGGAAGCTGCAAAGAGTGCCTAGGAAAGCCAGGTGTTTGCTTTTAAAAGTGAACTTGTGACACCTTGGCCACAAGGAAGTAATGGGCAGCATGTTTTTTGCTTCAGATGGACTCTCCTAAGCTCTGGAAAAGCAGTGATTCTGAAAAATCATTAGACTGCAAAGTAGAAATTAGTTGCTTGCATCAGACACATACATTGGTATGCTGTCACATGTACTGGTATAGGCAGAACTGTCATCTGTATTTGTTCTCCATTTCCCATACAGATTTCCTGCCTGCCTTTTCCTTGATCATTCAGATAGAGCATATCTGATACTCCCATGCTTCATTACTCTGCAAGCTCACCTGGCAACATGCTATGACCTTGCTATGCCTTGGCTAAAAGATAAGTACAAAAGGCATATGAGAAGGTTCTGGCATAATTGATAGCACAGGCTTGGGAGCACAGTGAAATGTCAGTTGGGTTCTAGGCCCTTAAATTATGATCTGGGTGTGGAAAATGTATCCTCAGCTGTGTAATGACTGGCTGTAAATCAAAGGTTGTTAGGGACCTTTGGAAAGGACTTTTTTTTTTGAGCACGTAACTACATTTTGACAGATGGTATACAATAAAAGAGACATAGGCTATCTTCTGGGTGTTCTGAGCTTCCTCTGCTAATAGTGTGTGAATTTCAAGTGATAGCCAGGCTATGTGAGTGAAGATGGCTTTCACAGCTGTGGGAGTGTGATTATGTAGCTTCATTTCTCAAAAAAGTTGGTGGGAATGACACACAATCTTGAATTTCTCTGTGTAATGCATTCCTCAACTTGTTGAGGTAGAAAGGAGGTTAGGCTTTGCCTGAGAAAGCAGTGTCAGTGACTGAATAAAAGTGATTAGGAAAGGTTTATTATAAAGGAAGAAAAACTAGCATCTCAAGGGTGAAGCTCATGGTGAAATTAGATGTAAAGGCATGTCTTGTTCTCAGAAACAAATAAAGGAATAAGTATCTTCAACATCTCAGTGCTGCAAATAAGAGTCCTTTAATAATAGTATAATCGGGGTTTATTTGTCCAAATTTAATTTGGTACCTGCATGTGTGATATATTAGATGATGCATGTATAGTGCCATTTATCAGATAAGGAATATTCACCACCCTGTCATGAGCAGGGGTACATTTCACTAGACCAGGTTGCTCAGAACACCATCCAAACTGGCCTTGAGCACTTCCAGGAATGGACCATCCACAACTTCTCTGAGAAATCTGTTTCAGTGCCTCATTTGTCAGTCTGCAGCATTTTTTTGTAAGTGAAGATCCTGTTGAATTCAGTTGTAGATGAATACTCTCGTCTCAAGCCAACCATGTAGGAAATTATGAATGTAAGCTATTGACCACTTGTGAAAAGCATTTTGAAAATGTGATTTAAGAATAAAAAAAGTTCCTAGCTGGCCAGGATTGTGTCATAATTGATAAAAATGAGGTAGAATCCCATTCTGTTCCTGAGCCCTACACAATTATTTCTGTGCAGTCTCTGTACTAAGTCACCCCATGCTGTTTTCTCTTGTCTTCTCCTGCCCTCCCCCCACTTTTCCTTCATAATCTTCTAGAATCCAGTCAGGCTTTTTTTCCCACTTCACATGCTGACAGTTAGATACTAATATTACTTTCCAAAAATAGTCTCCCAGAAGCTTTCAAGAGCACGGATTACATTTTGATCTATGTTGGTAAAGTCACATGCATGTTTAGAGTGCTGATATCAGTAACAGTCCAGAATAAAAAGGAATTTAAGTTTTGTCTTTTCTTGCTCAAACTGCAATGAAGTATGTGTTCCTGCAAGAAAGTGTTGGGTTTTTTCTCACTGTAAACAGCATATGCCTTCTATGTCTTGAGACCATGCTGTTAAGATTCTTGCCATGTCTGCTTTTACTCAAGCGTGCATGTGCCCTTGGCAAGTAGTCGAGTCATGATCATAATTATTTCAGCAACTTCAGTATCTGTTTATCGTCCAGTAAGAATGTACTAAGGAAGCAATTAAAAATTGATCTATAATTAGAGGAAACCCTAAATAAGGGATTTATTTTCTGAAGTCTATGAGGAGTTACTTTAAGATATCACTCGTGCTGCTGAAAGGGAATTGACTTTCCTTCTGGTCTCCTTTGGTCTTCCTCCAGGACACTGAAAGTGCTGCAGAGATTCCCCAACGGACTCATTAGTAGTTTATTTTGGGCTGACTGGTCTGATCTGTTTCTCTGGACTTATTCTAGTCTGTTTATAGAACAGGCATTGCAATTGAGTTAAAAACTTAGCTTGTTCCTTTCTTTGCAGTGGGAAAAGCACCCTTACTACAACCTAACAGTGAAAGTCCTCCGAGCCAGAAACATCAAGGGTACAGACCTGTGTAAGTATTTAGTCAAGGTATTGTGAAAACAGGTTGTTTGGTCAGTGCATACCTCTAACACAGGCAGCATTGTTAAGGGAGCTTCTTACTTACACATACTGTATTGCCTTTATGTCTGAACAAAAGCTTCTCTTGTAAAGCATTATGTATACTTTAAAATCTTGATGTGAGCCAAGCTGCAGATTAAGCGTGCTACTTTGCAGAACAAGATCAACTCCTGATAATGTTTTTCTTCCCTGCTCCTACACCTGTCCTACTGTGACCTATTCTGTATTCCTTTCTTGGATTCAGCCCTCTGGTCATGGCAAGTTTCACCCTTGCTCCTGCTAAACAGTCTTCATAAACCTGGAAATAGAAATCTTCAATTCTAGCTTCCAAATGTTTATTTTCTCAGCTGTACTAGTGCTTTATTTCATGTACCTGCTATTTGCCATTGAAGCCTTTAAGGAAGTAGGTAGTTGACTGATTCCAAGACAAGCTGCTTTTTATCTGTTCCTGTTTTTGATAGCATGGTATATATTTCCTTCTATTTACACATCTAAGTAAAGATCTCAGGAATGTTTGAGGCATTTGGATCTTTAAAACTCATTTGAGATTTAATTACTTCAGATTTAATCCAGTGAGGTAGTCTGCCTTAAGTTTATATCTGGCATCCAGCACTGAACTACTTGGAATGCTAAATAGCTGTTCAAGGAATGGAAAACCCTCCTGTGAGGCTGAGGGATAGATTCACACTGTGAAGAGTTCTTTTTCATGGCCTATCTGTTCAACTGGAGTGAAGAACTGTTCCCATACTTGCATTGAAGAAGGGGCCCTAACTGGAAGAAAGAACTCAAAGACAATCAGTTATTTTCAGGGAATGGAAACAGACAGCTTAGCTCCAGGCCAGACTAAATGAAGGTATAGCAGTGGTGGATGTTGTCTACTTGGACTTTAGTGAGGCTTTTGACACTGTCTCCTATAAGATTCTCATAGAGAAACTGATGAAGTATGGGCTGGATGAGCAGACAGGGAGCTGGACTGAAAACTCAGAGGATGGTGATCAGTGGTAAAAAAACTGGAGTATCTCTCATATGAGGAAAAGCTGAAAGATCTGGGGCTACTTAGTGACACAGTGGAGGATTCAGGGTGATATCATTGATATGTACAAGTATTTAAAAGGAAGGTGTTAAGAGGATGGAACCAGACTCTTTCAGTGGTGCCCGGTAACAAGACAAGAGACAATGAGCCTGGTATCAGCAGTAATCGTTTTTCAAAATTTGATCTTCCTCATTTAAAATAGTAGTTTCTTTTATTAAGGGCTTTATGATTTGGATGAACCAGAAAAAAAGAAATATAGGTACCTAATATTCAATTTGCTGCCGTTTGAGAACATGTACTTCATTAAAGGCTTTTGCTTTAGAAGTCCAGTCTTAAATTTGCACTTTTCTATGATGTAATGAGATCTAGAAAATGAGGAGTTTATGGGAAAAGTTACGTTTGATTAAAGTCGTTCTGACGTCTGTCTCTGCTCTCTCTGCTGTAGTGTCCAAGGCAGACTGTTATGTGGAACTAAAGCTGCCCACTGCATCTCCCATAGTCTCCCGAACTCAGGTTGTTGACAACAATGATAACCCAGAATGGAATGAAACTTTCCGGTATCGAATCCATAGTGCTGTCAAGGTAAGGAGTGCACTTTGTGGAGCTGGTTGGACTACTTGTGTTGGTATACTGGCTTGTTTTTGATACTTCATTCAAACCAACCCTCAAAACCAGTGTTGCTTGGAAGGTGTCAGTTGCCTTCAGTGGTACAAAAAGCTGTACTATGCATGTCCAGTGATAACCACAGCACTTTGTAACTGCACTCTCCTGTAAATTGCAGCTAGAATGTTCCGTAAACATCCTTGTGATGCAACTCAGGAAGGGGAATTTATGGCACTACCTGGTAAAGTTCAAGGAAATTTCATAATAAAACAAGTTTCTATTTGATGTTTGCTTCTACTTTCACAGTGTAGCTGTCTGAATGAGGATAATGGGAACCAAATGTCTACTCACTGCCACTAGTTCATGCGGTTGAGTTTTGCCATCAGTTCCTATGATGAAGAAAACCAAAAGTCAAACTTTTGGATAGGGACAGTACATCTGTCTGCTGTCTGTGCAGGACCTAGTAGAGTATTGAACAAAGTCTTCAGATTGTCAGCATTCATTCTCAAAGTAGCCATTAATGGCAGAGGGAAGGAAACTGTACTTTAGAAGGTCAGTTTTAGTGTGGTACTATTGCTTTGAATAACATCCTAGGCTTTGGAATAAGGTGCTTATTAACAAGAAACTATCCCCCTCACTGGAGTACCTTTCCACAATGGTTGGTGACAAATGTGGAATGCTAATTGGCTTAAATGGTAAGAAAATTGAAAGCTAAGCTTTAGTGTTTAGCTTTTCTTCCCCTGCAGACTTATGAGGCCTCAGTCTGGTTACTGCTGCGAGACTACACTGGCACAATTTTACGTTTAGACTTGTCTCCTTGAAAACTAGTTGCTGCAGTGCCATTGTTTTTGGATGCTGTATGTACTCATTGTGTCTATTTCAGTTAGTTTTTCTTGAATTTACCAGCTCTGAGACAGTGCCAAGCGGGAAGTGATCAGTCCCTTTAACATCCTGAACTGAATCGTGCTAGAAGAGTGGAAATTGCTGTTGCTTCCTCAGGCAAATCTGTGCCTGAAGTGGGTGGAAAGTACTGTCACATGCATTCAGCTGGAACCTCTCTCTAACTGGGAAGCTCAGAAAATATTTTAGCTACATGTTGTCAACTAGGAGCTTTTTTTTCTTAACTATGCTGTAAACTCTGCTGAAAATAGTGAATTTTCTTCAGGAATGGGAAAGGTATTGATTAATGCACAGAGTGTCTATTGTATACAGATACCCAGGAAGTGTTTGTTCTTTGATCTTAGGCTGTTTGTTTCTGTTTGGTTTTAGAACATTCTGGAGTTGACACTCTATGATAAGGATGTCCTTGTCAGTGATGAGCTCACGTCTATTGTCTTCGATGTAGGGGGCATGAAGCCGGGTCGGCCCCTGCTGCGCACTTTCAGGTTGAACTCTGAGGTTAGTCCCTGGCTCAACTGTGGATAGCTGCAGCTCATCATTACAGATATCTGGCAGTATGTGCTGGTCGACTTGTCTGTGTTGTAGAAGCTAGAAGGGAAAACTGAATCAACAGGTGATGACAGCATATGTGGTTTTACTGTCAACTGGGATGTTTCTAAAATCCCTAGTGATTTTATGTGTTTTCCACAGCCTTTGGCATGCCCCAACTAAATAAAACTTGAGATTACTGCTCTCATTCTGAAGATGTTAAAACATCTTCATTTAAAGGGAATTGATTTTTCATGAGACTTAGAGGAACATAAACTGGTTTTAAAATGAAAGACATTTGCAGTCAGTAATCATTATGGGGACTATAGACTGTGTTATTTGGTTTGGCATCATCAGTTTGCGGAAAAGAAGTTTATTGCTGCAAAGCTTAGCTCTATATCTAATAAGTCCGAAGTCTAAGAAAAGCTTATTTTCTCTGAACTATGTTCAGTACCTTAAACCTCTGCTTTATGTGGGTGATGTGTGTATCAGCTGCTCTCAAATCCTGTGCACCTGTTTATGGACTTACAACAAGACAGCCTGTTTTACATAGATAAAACCACATCACCAATCTGATCTATTTTGTAAATACCACAAACACATTGCTACAACAGATCAGGATTAAAGGTGAGCTGATGATGTGTTTTCTTGAGAAACTGGGCTTCAATACTGTTGGTGTGGTCAGAAGCAAGATAACTGGTATGCAGTTCTCAGGGAGACGTTGGGCAGTGGCACAGGCACTCCAAATGATTTGTCATCATGGAAAGAAGCTTAGTAACTCCCTTGTTCCCACTAACTCTACCAATTTGCTAGATGCTTAAGTCATCTTGATCCGTAATTGTGGATCTGAAAATTCCAACTTTAGTAAAGAAAATTACCCAAGTTGGTTTCTACTTGGTTATTTTAAAAGCTGCATTATGTCTGGTATCAAATATTTACTATATGTTATGGTAGGAGAAAAGATGGCTGGATCAAAGTCTGTAGAAGACAAATAAAACAATGACCTAAGAGTGCAAGCTCCTGAAATGATAATAATAATTGGGAGGTAGCACAAAACCTCGTGTAGAAGGTATTTGCAGAGATGGCGCTGCAGTGGAACTTGAGCCAGAGGAGGGTTTTCTTCTCATAGCAGAGTAATGGATCTGAGAGCCAACTCTCACTTGTGTGCCCTTGTATTTTCAACATAGATGTGTCTGGTCATATAGGATATGTCCAGGAGGAGAGGAATGTTTAAAGAACAATAAGAACAACTAAAGGCATAAATTTAAATATTTCAAAATTTAACTGGAACTTTTATAAAAGCCGTTACTTTAACGGGAGGTTACTATAAGTATGTAACAGGAAGAAGGCTTAATCTCTTGGAAAAATGTCTCATAATTATATATTCAAGATAAAGGGTCACTAGTGTCCAACTTTTGTTTTCAAAGGCTAATGAAGAACTGGATGTAGAGTTTTACTTGGAGAAATGGTGAGTCTTACGTGAAGAGCTGAATGAAATTGAGCTCTGAAAATATGTGTCTTTGTTACTTTTTCTGTGCAGGGACAGTCTTGCCCATAGAAAGGCTAATGCTTTATAGTTCCCCGTGGTGTTTGAGTTGATTCATTAAAGGTTGACCACGAATATCCTTAATGCTCCAGTCATCAAAACTTTTGGGGTACCAAAAAAGAAATAAATTTTGCTGGACTCCATGAGAAGTAAATGAACACTTTGTGGATTAGTTACTTAGGAGTGAAATACACGGATGAGTATTTAATCTATCTAATAGCCTATCTAAGCTCAGCTTTTCTCTAAGTTATCACAATAACTGAGATGGGGAGATCTTAAAGCACGTGCTTATAGTTGCAGACAAATTTTTTTATTTCCCAACCTCCGTTGTTCTGTGAAGGGATATATGCTTGGTGTTTGCACAGATATCCCCCAGTGAGGGCCTTTTTACCCCACTGCTTATCCAGGCAGTTAGTTTGCAAAGTAGGATGAAGCAAATTAGAAACAGAACTCATTTATGTTAAATCTCTTGCTTTCTCAGCTCAGATGTCCCTACAGAGGTATTGACCAATGGAGTCCTTGTGGTGAGTACATGGAAGTCAGAATCATATATGTTGTGATTTACTCCAGAAGGTAAGTTTTTAGTAGCAAGAATTGTTGCGTGTTCCACTCCTGCTTCCAAATAGCTCCTATTCTCTCCAGCATCTGCCTTTCTTTTTTCAATTTGTTGATTTAAAAATCTTCCTCAATTTTTAAAACTTGATAGTAACTCACAGAAAGGTGTGGCTTGTTTTTTGTTGTTGGGTTTGTTTTTTTTTTTTCAGTAGGACTGCTATAAAAAATGTAAACAAAAAATGTCTTTATGAGGCAAGTGAGTCTTGAAGATGGTATCGTGTTTTCTAGCCTAGATGCTGGCCAGGTATAGTCCCTCTTCTAATTTTAACACATATTACTTCAAAGCTTTTATCAATGCCATTACTAAGTAGGTGTTGCCTCCCTGTTCTCTTAGGTGAATCAATCTAAGAAAATCAGTGTGTTATACGTTAAAAATAAAGGTATTATTACCTCTTTTCTCCCTCCAAAGAAAAGGGACTGGTGTCATGTTTTTTGTAAGGAGAAAAGGATAATGGTTGAAATGTAGAGTTTTAACTTTTTTTTCCTGAAAAATTGGTGGCACTTAACAGCGCAGTTCTGCAAACTATTTCGCAGGAGAGAAGCTTTTGTGTTCCAATTTGCCTTAGCAAATTAGTCTTACATTTAGGCAGTGGAGTAGTTTCTTTTAGGGCAGTTGTGGCCTACTAAGTATCTTACCTACTGTCGTAGAGGGGTGATGATTGAATGGTGTGAGAGACTAAATTTTATGAGGACATGGACAAGCTGGGAGAGAAAGTCATGGCAGAATTTATGAAGTGCTTGCTTCTGAACAGGTTCTGAATAGGTACTCACGCATGCATTAAAAAAAGGTAAAAAACCAGAAAAACCCCAGGTGTTGACAGCTTGTAACTATGAAGTACTGGTTGCAAAAAGCTCCAGTAACTGGAATAAGGAGAGTGGTTTTGATTTTGAAACAAGAGCAAATAATCCTGTCCTAGTGAAACAAAACTTGGTCTTTATTTGAAATAACAAAACAATCCTTAGTGGGTTTTTTTGACAGCTTGCATCTGTAAACCTACACCTCATATAGTAGGTGGATTAAACTTCAACAAAGAAGTGAACTAAAAATTGTGTAACTAGAGCTGGTTTCTTTTTTACATAGGTTCATCCTTGCTTGTCTCTGCAAGGCACTGTTAACAAAGGGGAAAACACAAAAGAGAAACAGCAAGGTAGGGCTGCCTGTAGAGTTGAAGTCAGCACTACTTTTCAGCATATTTATTCCTTGGGAGAGAAGGGAGACTTGATTCTCTGTCTATACAGTGCATTTTAATTTACTGACTACAAAATTTACTTTTTAAGTCAATTTTGCTTTTATTTTTAATACTTAATAATATGGGGTCACTTCTACTGAGTACCACACAATAGAGTTTTTGCTTGTGTTTTCATAGTCTCAGCTACACTTAACAAGTACTTGATTTTCAACATGGCTCCTGTGATCTACACTTTTTTTTTCTAATGCACAGGGTGCTGTGAAGTTAAGTTGTCTGTCCCAGGGGCATATCAAAAGCAGTTGAGTATTCCTTGGACACCAGATAATGAGAAGCATTATGGAACCTCATTTGTTTTTCATGTGGATAAAGAAATGTGTCCAGAACTGCAAGTGCAGCTGGAGCAAACCATATCTGTTCTACAGGTAAACATCCATGCTGATTACTACAAAATTTACAACCCACTTTTGAGTAAATCCACTCCAAAACTGGTGACTTTATTTCCACGAAAATGTCCTTAAATATAAATTGAATGGCCTTGATTTGATCATAAGAGGGCCAGAGACTTCTTCAGATGTTCAGTGATGTCAGTTTTTGGTTTTTATTCAGGTACCTGTGGATGTCAAAAGCTTGCATTAAAGGAAGTCTCTTATGAAGTAAAATATTTGTGTGGTGCTAGGGACCAACTATTAAAAAGGCTACTAGTCACTTCCAGATGTACCTTTTGGATGCAACTTTGTAATATTGTAACTGCTCAGACCAAAATTTTCTAGGCTAGAAGCTTACCTTGAATGAATGTATTTTTTTTCTGGGCATGTATTAGGAATTTATGGGCAGAGAGATAAGTTTTTATCTATCATTGTTTTTTACACAGTACTATTTTTTTTGTTTTAAAATGTCAGACTTTGCATTGTGTCTTTGACATTGCGTAAGGAGGTGAAATTGTCTTAAAAATATACAATCCCCAACAATTTAAAATTTCTTCAAACTCAGGGATTAAAGAAATTTAACTCTGTGCATGCTTGCTGCATGAAGATACTCTATAGGAAGTCCTTTCTATTAGAAACTTGTAAATCAGTTGTCACTTGTAAAGGTTTATTTAGCTTTGTCTATTACTTTACAGTCTGTACAAGTACCCATGCAGCGTGTGCATCCTATTGGAGTGACTGAATATTCATTGTGATGACTGTTGCCACCAAAAATGAGAGCAAGGAAACTCTTTATTCTATGATATTTGTCATGCCCACAAGCAGTTGGGCAGCATGATTGCAAATGGTGATCTTGACTACTCTAGAGGCAACTATGGAGAAGAGGACACAAGAAATTATATGGAAGAATGGGTTTGACATGGGGTTGTTTAGGCAGCAGACATGAGCTGAAGAGAGAGACCTGGACTAAAGTGGTCAAAGACTCAGAGCTGGGCAAGCAAAAACACAGTAGAAGTCAACCATGGAGATTGGAGCAGGTGGTAAACCTCAGCCCAACCACCTTGGTTAGCAGAACATACTCCTTCAATGGCTGGCATAGAGCATAAAAGTCTGGCCTTTCTTCTCTTATCAGAGGTAGGAGAGTGCCAGGAACGTGGTAGAGTTGCTTGCCCTGTACCTAAATGCATGTTATTTTCCCCTGTTAGGAGGAGGAGGACAGTGAGCTTAGTTGGACATTGGACTCAGGACAGCTGTTATTGGTCAGAAAACATCTGTGAAATCTATGAGTAGTTCCTTGTCTGACTTCAGTTCTTGGTGTGAGAAGGGTGACAACCTGTTGTTCCTTCAAGATGCTGTCTCTTCCCAAGGGTTGAGCCCTGTGGTGGATGTATGGGCTCCATCCCACTGGTAGGCTATGTAGGTTTGCGTGTGACCCTCTGATATGAGGTTTTTTTAGTATATGTCTTTTAAAGTTAGGAATCTGCACACAGCTCAGTATTGAGAGCTTGTCACTTGCTACATGGGAGAAAACTCAAGGATTTCCTGGCAAACTTTAATTTTCTCTGCTTTTAGGTTTTGTAAATTACATGCTATCATTTGTCCCTAGGGAAACTATCTTATTGCTTATTTTGTAGTATTTTTTATGTATGTCTCATGCTGTTGCTTTGTTGGTATCTTTTCCAAATCCTGCTTTGATGACAGATTGCAAGAACACAACTATTTTTGGGGAAAGTTTTGTACTTGAAGGTGAAGATTTTTTGCTTGTGGCAGACAGGTATATTAAAAAAAGCAAAGAACAACAAACATATAAACCCCCCTAAACAAACAAAAAACAAAAAACCTCATTTGAATGAAAGAAATATCCTGACAAAGATCTGTCAAGCAGAAAGCAGGATGCTCTTGAAAAGCCTTAGACTTTTGGGAAAGATTTAGCTGTAGTGATATTAAGAATTGTTTGCTGTTTTGACATAGGAAAGTCATACCTTTAACTTTTTTTCTGTGGAACTCAATTAAGATTTTGGTTTTTATTAGGATGGCGTGAACCCTGATGTTGAAAAGCATACTACAGTTCTGGGATTGGGAACTGTACCAGTTAGTTCCCTTCCTATTGGAGAAAAAGTTGATAGAAGCATTTCTTTGGGAGAGGTAATGTCAATATTTTGCATTTGTTTTAGCATGCATGGGATAACTTTTTCCTCCAATGCCTTTAGGCATGTGGAAAGTTAGGCTACATGTGATTCTCAGGAGTGCTGTTTTCTTGGATATCTAGAATGAAATAATGGGATTACTCAGTGAAGTTCTTCTAAAAATGTTTTCACAGTGGGGTCTTGCAAAGTATGAAGTTCATCACTTTCTAGAGCAAAAAAGTCTGTCAGAGTGTGAAAGAAAATTATGAGAGGAGGAGAAAAGCAAGACACTTGCAGAAGAAATAATTTCTTTCACGCTGCTCTCTGAGGATGTTTTTGCTTTCTGCAGAGACTATTGAAAATGTCTGAAATAGGTGCAAGGGAAAGGTGTTCCAGAGATGTCATTTTATGAGAGAGAGTACTGTTCTAGTTAGTATCTGGTGACTCTGTTGATCTCATAACCTCTGTTTAGTAGTTCCACCTGTATAATTGCTATCAGTTGTAAGATGTGTTCGCTCTTTTCACAGGGACAAAGTCTGGATATGAGTTTGAAAACTGAAGAGAGGTGAGTGGGAACCTCAAAGTCCTTTAAAAATGAGGGAAGGGCCTTTATTCTCATAGTAAAGGAACTGAGTGACTCTCCTCAATGTTCTGGTGAGATCTCTTCTCTCCACTGATCTTTTGGGATAGAATAAAAGAAAATATCTTTGATTATTTTTCTTCTTAAAGCTCTTGACTCTTCAATTTCCAAATACTATCTAATGCACTGGTGTCAGTACTGCTGAGAGCTGTACAAATTTTGTGTTCCTAATACTTAAATGTAAAATAGCTGATGATGTAAATATTAAGTAGTTTTGTTAGGTACAGATACTTCCCAAAATATATTCAGTCCTGTACTGACAAATAGGAAAGGACACCTCTGTGTGTGAAGAGCCTGAACTGTAAAATAGATGCAGGGTGCAAGAAAGGAGTAAAAAGGAAAGAATAACTGAAAACCAAGCAGTTGGCTAGTAAGTTGATAAGGTCATTTAATATACAGTCATCTGAAGATTCTGCTCCCCTTTTATGAACTCATAGCAAGTTAATTGAACTGCAATTGCAGTTGCCCCCTTCTGCCTCTTAAGTTCAGAAATTTCTGTTTTAAAATTGCTTTTCCCCTCATTTCACCATTCATATCAATACAGTGATGTCAGTTGCTCCTCATACAATCTTCTTCAGCTACTGAGAATATTTTCTTCCTCTGTGAAATTCCTGAAGCTTAATTTGAATACCGTTTGATGCAAATTTTGAATTTAAACATTAAGGGAGAAATACAGTATGGAGAAGTTTCATTTTCAATTCCAAAAGCTGTTGTACAAAATAGCTGGTGTATATACTAAAATTTCATCTAATAGTTTGATCCAGTGATTCAGATCAGCACCCAGATTTTGTGTTCACAAAAATTTCTTTTCATGCAAATCGCAAATCCTCCAAAATCTGGGTGTGTTTTTGCTTGACTTCTATTTCAGCACTTGGGATCTTGATATACGTCTGGGTTTCGACCTCTGTAAAGAGGAGAGAGAATTTTTGGACAAAAGGAAGAAAGTAGTTTCTGAGGCACTGAGAAAGAGTCTTCACTTAAAAGAATCCCCTCCAAAAGATGAGGTATTGAGCACGGTGCTGTAGTGAGATTGATAAAATCCTTTATGCTTGGTTGATAATTAGAGGGTGTAAGAATCTTTGCCTATAACAGAAAACATGTTTTGCATTCACTGTGGTAGGTCCCTGGTATGTTTTAGTTTTGAAGTCTCAAATGTTGTTATATTTCTTAAATTTTGAGGGATGTGTGTTTGTGTGTTTTGGAATGCAAAACATTGAAATTTCAGAATGTATGCACTTTCTTTTGTTGAACTCTTGTATCTTGGGTTTTAGGCTTGGAACTGTGATGGGAAAGTCTGTTTCAGAATGTTTAAATTAAAGCTCAAACCACAGGAATAGCTTCCTAATTGCTTATTTGAGGACACTGTTATGTCTACATAGGTCATGGCCTGATGCCTTGCTTGGTGGTGTTTGGCTGCTGTTATAAGAATAGTTGCCTTTTTTGTGCTTATACATATATTGTATGAAAGTAAATGTGTGATAGTATACATAACAGTTTCAGTGACTGTCCCTAACTGACCCTGCTGTTTTATAGTAAACAATATATTTCAATTACAAAATAGGGAAAGGAGTTCTGCTTGAAATCAAACCTGAAATCACTTGAAAAGTAAATAGAAATATTGATTTTTGTATTTTTTATTTTTTTTTTTAATTTGAGTGAGACTTGAATGGGATTAGTTCTATAATTCATTGGCAATCAAAAGTCTGTGGTTGTGACTCCTGAGTTTGCTGTCTGCAGGTTCCAGTCATAGCAGTACTGGGGTCTGGAGGTGGGATGAGAGCACTGACATCGTTCTATGGCAGTCTTGCTGGGCTTCAGCAGCTGGGCCTTTTGGATGCTGCAATATATCTGTGTGGGATTTCTGGCTCTACTTGGTAAGCTGTATGCAGTGTTGGCTCCAGAAACTTAGTGTTGATGCAAAATAAAACCAAAATTGCATTTGTACCATCTGTAGTCAGACAGCAAAGTCTAATGTTTTATCAGTTTTCACCTGTAAGACTCCTGAAGAGTTTAAGGGATTCATTATCATGTCCAACCCATGCAGCTGCTGGTTAAATTTATGAATCTGCTGCTTGTGCGAGTCTGACAGTTGAATATTAGAATGTATTACATCAATAAAGCTGTTCAGAGCACTGACTTAAAAAACCCTCCTCCCTTTTCTACTCTTGCCAAGAAGATAACTGACGTGGTGCAAGTCACTGGAAACATGTCCACAGGGGCCACTGTGTCGTCACCTTCCAAAATGGTGTAAGTGGTTGAAGAGAGGCACAGCACTGCTTTGCCTTTTGGTGGACTGGAGCAACGTGTTGAAATGGTAGACATGGCTAGAATGTTTCAGTATCTCAGTTCTTGAAGTCTGTGATGAAGTCATCCCTTTTAAGTACACGTTGTTTTTGTGAAATGATTTCACTGAGGAGTTGTGCAACCTGACAGTGTAACCCTCCCTTCCAGACCTTTGTGTGTTAAATTAACTCCTATGTACCTGGTTCTCTTCCACTAACCTTGTGATCTGGCCGGCCCCTTTTGACTCAGAGACACTTCCAAACAAATGTAGCCAATGGTCCAAACTAGTTTTTTCTTTAATCAGACCTGTGTTCGGATGAAGGCTATGGCCTCTATTGCTGCATGAAGTAGCACCCTTGCTGTCAGCCAGTCTATCGTAGTTGTTATGGTCTGGAGTTAACTCAGGTTTATGAACTGGTTTATGTGTGCCTGCATATGATGCTTGGAACATCCTTGGAAGGCAAGTTATCAATTGGGATGAAGTTGTCCTGTAGGTGTCAGAGTGTCCAGCACATTTTAGAATTCAGAGAGCCTTTATTTATGGACTCTCTACTCTTCATGATGTTTGGCTTTCAACTAGACTTCTCAAGTGCTGCAGCACTAATTCTAACTAGCTAAAAGTATTCTTTACATGAGGATCTTTGTTACTGATGACATTAATATAAGCATTTTCAGGTGTTTATCGACACTGTATCAAGACCCCAATTGGTCACAGAAAGACCTTCAAGATGCAATCAGAAGAGCTCAGGGTGCTGTGTCCAGCAGCAAAGCAGGGGCATTTTCCCCAGAACGACTGAAATACTATTTCCAGGAGCTGAATGCAATGGAGAATAGTGGACGGAAAGTTTCCTTTACAGATTTGTGGGGCCTTATTGTGGAATTTTTCCTACAGCAGAAGGTAAAAGGGTTTATGTTTGGATGTGTACTGCTTTCTGTCTTCTGGGTGGGAGTTCTATATACCCACGTGTTTTATTTCAAGAAACCAATTGCTCTTCACCTTTGTGAGCTGTTCTGGCATAGACAGTGTTGTGCAATAAACATAGTATCTTCTTTATTCAAGAATTTTCAAGTCATACAGATCAGTGCTATAGAAAAAAAAGCTGTGTTTTCTTGGAATGACTGTTATTAAATTAATAGCTTTTGTATTGGGCAGGTTAAATCGGAGAGAATGATATTAGTTTTGCAGAATGGCATTACTGTGCAGTATTTTCTATGTAACTGAGACTGGAAATCAGAGGGATATTGAGTTCATTAATAACACTAGGCATTCTAAGTATGCAACTGCAGAAATATTTTGACCAAATCTAACCATGTGTCTCGACAGTGGGACGAAAAGGGACTTTGAATTAGTAGTATTGTTAATCAGAAGTGCTAAGCAACAGCTTCCAGTTATCAAAGTATGGGTACAGAGCTTGCCTAAGTGTGCTTCTCCTTCCCTGCTTGTGACCAGGAAGACCCATCAAAGCTGTCTGATCAGCAAGAAGCAGTGAAATGGGCCCAGAACCCTTACCCTATCTATGCAGCTGTCAATGTGAGACCCAATATGAGCAGTGGTGACTTTGCAGGTATATAGAAATTTATTTTTGTTTGCTAAAATCAATAAATTCCTTTCACCTATCCAGTTCCTTGGGTAGTGAGCAGCTGACAACAGGAAATGTGGCTCAAGCAGCAGTTGGTAGTGCAAGAGGCAACAGGATACTGATTGGCAGAGTGTTATCATCCTGATAGCAAATGTCTTCATCATGGCTAAAATAGAGAAATGAGATTCAACATTGTTGGCCACTCCACATGTTTTGCTAGAAACTGCCTGAAATTTTCAGGAGCTGAGAAGATTCCTATAATACATGTCTGTGTCTGAATCAGAGAATTAGAGTCCTTAGTAATTAAGTGGCCACTTTCTTTTAAAGTCTCAGATAAATAAATAATTTTTGTAGGATTCATGTAAAATGATGAATTGGCCACCTTGTAGTTTGCATCATCAAAATTATGGATTTTAGAAGCTTGAGTTCTTACAGTAAAAAAATGGAAGGCCAGACCTTCACTGAAACTTTAAATATGATGCAACAATTGAGGATAGATACAGGAGACACAATCACAAATGTTTATGTCCATCTGTGTACCTCTAGGGGACTTTTGTTTATTTTATTCTGGAGGAGTTTGAATTAATTTGATGTCATATGAATTTGTGAATGAATTTAATTTGATCAAACCTGCCAGAGTTCAAGAAGCATTTGGGTAATGCCTTCAGACACGTGCTGTGTTTTTTTTGATAGTTCTGTGCAGGGCCAGGAGTTGGACTTGATGATCTTTCTGGTTACCTTTCAGCTATTTGTAGAAATCTTTCAGGCAAGAGGGGACTTTTTGATAGGCAGACAATGAAGACTGACACTGTGGGCCAATCGAGTTTTCAAGTTAGTACTGTAGTAGTTTCTGAGAGATGGTATGTAGTGTGAAGAAAAGCTGAGAAAAATGAAGTAGCTTCTGTTTGGGATGGAAAAGGGAGCCATCAAAATGGTTTAAAGTAAAAGTAAAATAGGCAGCTTGTTTCTCTAGTGGCAAACTCAGGATGGAGCAAGATGGGATGAAAGCCTGTACAAGAGTTTTTGTTAATAATAGATGATTTTTTTAATTAGTAATAGATAGAGGCTTACTGAGAAGAGAGGCAGGGAAATCCATAGTGATCATGAAAAGTGGAGGGAAACTCCCTTCTGTCTCCCTTGTGTGAACAATACCAGATAAATGTTTTTGCTTATGTTTCTTCTGAGATGAGTAAATATCCTGCTGACTTGTTCTTAGAATGGTGTGAGTTCACTCCCTATGAAGTTGGATTTCGCAAATATGGAGCTTTTGTCAGAACAGAGGACTTTGACAGTGAGTTCTTCATGGGACGACTTATCCAGAAACATCCAGAGCCCAGGATTTGTTTTCTACAAGGTATGATCTTATGATAAGGATTAAAATGAGGAGATGGAAAGGAACCATGCTGCTTTCAGGACTCATGGGCTTAAGTCCATGCCTTTTTGTCCCTTGCTAAAGAACTTAAAGTAAAAAATATCAAGTCTTTCTCCAGAGTTTTAGGTATTGGTTCATAATATTACAACCTGATGTCCTGAGTCTGCAAGATGACTCTATTATGAGCTGCCTGTCAAAAATGTCTGCTGTAGGTCTTCCCCTACTGTCTTTTTGGTGTTTTTCTCTAGGAAAAATTTCCGCATTATATTTTTAAATCAGAATTTGTTACATGATTAACTCAAACATCACCTGTTAGAATAGTAGGGATCAAGTGACAGCCTTCTCCCATGACAAATGGCAACGGAATTATAGACCTTTTGGTTACACTGTGTAAAGCCTTTTGAGTACTAAATTCTTCCACATGTCTCCTGCAGGAATGTGGGGCAGTGCTTTTGCGGCAAGCTTGGATGACATCTGCCTGAAGGTGATTGGTATAGGACTGAGCTTTCTAGATTCCTTCAAAGATGTTATAAAAGTTGTAGGTAAGAGCATACATGAAAACAGCTGGATTTTTCAAAAGATTGCTGGTTTTGGAATAATCGCAATAATATGACTCAAAAATGTGCTGTGTGTAGTTTTCAAGAGTTAGCATTAAGGATGGATTTAGACAGATCTCTCTTTTACGGTGTGTTATTCCCTTTGTTCACACATAAAGTGAAGAGAGGAATTACATTTTCTTTAATACACTTTCCTTTCCTTCTTTTTAAAAAAATTTGTGTCTGACTTTGACTATAAATTTGGATGAGTTCTGGGAACTGTCTTAAACATATATTGCAGTGCAGGAGTTGTAATTGTGAGAAGAGGAAGAATAGAAGCTGGACTGCTAAGCAGGAGGTGGAAAAAAGGCTTTCAGTTTCTCCCTTGTCCTGCTTTTTGTAATTTTTGATAAGCTGTTTGTATATTTATGCACTGATCTCCATTTATACATTGCCCCCCTAGCAGTGAAAAGGAAGTGTTTTAAAGGCTGAAAGTTATTCCTGTGCGTAGTTATAGCCTTATAGTAACTAGTGGAGGAAGAGATTTTTTCTTCTCTGCCTTTGCAGCCCCCACCCCACCCTTTTTGTTGTTGTGTAACTGTAAATGCTACTGTGTGTGCTTGACTGATGTTGTCTTATGTGACAGAAATTGTTGTCACTTGGTAACAAGGGTTTCTTTGTGTTTGTTTGAAATTAATATGGGCAATGATTTATGAGTAATGCTATATCCATTAAACAGGGCATGTAAATCATCCAACTATGGCATATGCAGCTCATTTACATTTCATTACAGTACTCTTATTGGAGGAGAAATTCAGCCCTAGGACAGCTGGTTAAATATTCTAGAAACAGGTCTGATTGAAATATTGGAGCTGGACAAGCATTTTGTTTGTGTTCTGCATCCGTTTGTGACTTCTGCAGATGACTGCCGAAGATTCCATTTCCGAGACCCAGCACGACTGAAGACTCGCTTGGTTATACCTGGGGGCCCCTTGCTACAAATTTTTCAGGATTTCTTCAAGTCCCGGGTCACATGTGGAGAAACCTTCAACTTCATGAAGGGATTGTATCTTCATAAAGATTATGTTAACATCAAGAAATTTGTGACTTGGAGAGGTAAATGAGTCTGTTTGTGTCTGGGATATTAAATAATATGTTAATACTTTGTCAATATCACAGAACATGAGTGAGCTTGACTTTGTTCTGCTGAAGTCAGGAAGTATACCCCTTCTTACCCCATAGCAAAAAATTTGATCCACTGTGTTTGTTCTGTCATATAAGACTTCACAGGTCAATCTCAGATAAAGGTGCATGTTGGAATGTCTTTTTTCTTCTTATAACACTAGCATAAGCTTTGTTTGTTGCTTTTCCTGAGAGGTGTGTAATGAACCAATACAGTTTCTTGCTTTACTTGGAGCATCTTACAGGTACTCATCTGGATGCATTTCCCAACCAGCTGACCCCCATGGAAGAGAGCTTATATTTAGTGGATGGTGGCTTTTCTATCAACTCTCCCTTTCCTTTGGTACTTCAGCCAGAGAGGGATGTGGATGTTATCTTGTCATTCAATTTTTCCTGGGAAGCTCCATTTGAGGTGAGAGATGTAGCAGAACATCATTACATGAACATAAAAGCACAGAATCATATTCAAAATGACAGCAGATCAGTTGATGTTGAATACACACTCTAACAAATAAATTAAAATAAATCCTTATGTCTTTCATGGAATCATAGAATAACCTGGGTTAGAAGGGACCTTAAAGATCATCTAGCTCCAACCCCTTTGCAATGGGCAGGGACAGCTTCCACTGGACCAGGCTGCTTAAAGCCTCATCCAACCTGGTCTTGAACACCTCCAGGGATGATGAGTCCACAACCTTTCTGGGCAACCTGTTCCAGTACCTCACCACCCTCTGAGTAAAGAATTTCTTCCTAATATCTAAACCTACACCCTTTCAGTTTAAAGCCATTCCCCCTTGTCCTATCATTACATGCCTTTATGAAAAGTCCCTCTCCAGACTTCTTGTAAGCCCCTTTTTGTAGTGGAAGGTGCTATAAGGTCTTCTCAGAGCCTTCTCTTCTCCAGGCTGAACAGTCCCAACTCTCTCAGCCTGTCTTCATAGGAAAAGACATTTCAAGCATTATTTTTCTCTGCTTTTTCCTATGAAGGTCATGAAGAGATAGAAAGTTGACAACTATAATAAGATTCAAAAATTTTCAGAAGCCTAAGTAGATTGTTACGTAAAATAAGAGCGTTTGTTTGGCTCATAAGATCCTTGTTACTTTGATATACACTTCTAAAGGAAAAGTGGTTATTGGTGATTTTCTTCATGCAAACAAGTTATTTTATGTATATAAAAGTGTTCATTTTAAGTGCAGAAAAGTCTAGGTGAATAGATTTAGATACATAAAAAATTTCAACTGCAACCTGTTGATGTTTGCTAGCAGTTCTTAATTCTGCTCTTCATTCTTCTATATCACCAGCCAGAGAAATTGTTTCTGCTGGTTTGAAGCTGAGGTTCTGTCACATTTCCCCCCCCGCCCTTTTTTTTTTTTAGTTGAAGTCTCTTTCCCTTTGAGAATTGTAGTTAGATGATCTTAGAGGTGTAGCTGGTATTCTGTTGCAATTATTTTTTTATTCTTTGACAACAGGTTTTAGAGCTGACTCAGAAATATTGTGAGGAGCGTGACATTCCTTTTCCAAAAATCAAATTTAGTGAGGAAGATGAAAAGAAGCCAAAGGAGTGTTACATGTTTGTGGATGACAATAATCCAAAGGCTCCAATTGTAGTCCATTTCCCATTAGTGAATGACACTTTCCAGAAATACAAGGCTCCAGGTAAAGGAACTATATCTTAAAGAGCTCTTGTAACAATCCTTTGGGTGTGTTGATGGGGAAAATTCAGTGCGCTCAGTGTTCCTCTTTTCATTCATCTTAGTATTACCCTGTAATTATTAAATTGTTATTTACCTTTAAGGCAGAATGAATTTCCACTAGTTTTTTGGAAGGGAGAGTGGGAGAAGAGGCTGACAAAAAAATAAAATCTAAGGGCTGAAAGCATCAAAATTAGGCTAAATTTTTGCTTCTTTCTGAACCTTTCTGCCCTGATACTTGATTCTGTTACTTCTAGTTACTGTGAATATATAGAAAAGAACTAATAATCAGATTAGATAAGGAGTTCATTTGTTTACTGAATAAGAATAAACCACTAAACAGCAAGGTATTGGGGACCAATCTGTGTGTCAGATCATGTAACTCGTGTTAAGTGACCTGTGCCCCTGTAGTGTGAGATCAAGTGATAAATGATTCTTTCTTCATTTAATGTGATTCATATAGGCTGTAAAGTCTATCAGGCAGGAGTGCTGGGAAACATGGAGCTATTTACCTTTAAAAGGAGACAGGCAAAAATCAATGTCCTTTTTCTCCTATGAGGGAGAAAACATCATCCTGAAGAAAACTGTTGGAATACATAGAAAAGAACATGCAGGACTGGTACAGGCAAGGGGGATGTAAGGCACACTGTTAATGCTGTCTATATTAATACTGTAATGATTGCCAGGCCCTGGCTGCATTTCCTCATCAAGATGAAGAGTTTCAAAGTGTTAGGCTTGAATGTGACTTGAGACTTTCATTTCTCTAACAGCAACAAGCAAAGTGTTATTAGCAAACTACTTTAATGTTCACCTTTCGAAATGGTATTTAAATTTAAGTGGCAGGGTGCTAAAAAAAAGAGTTACCATATTTTGAAGAGTTTATACTAACGTCCTAAGGGCAGTTGAACTCATGATGTGTCTTTTATTTTAGTGTAGAACAGAACTTCCAGGAAGAATTGAGCTTTATATTTCCTATTTTAAGCATGATTGTAGATGAACTAAACAATTTATCACAATGGAAATGTATTTTAGTACTTATTTTGGAGCCTAGTGGAAAGAGGCTCCAAATAATAGCACTTTGCCTTCAGCTTCCAGATATTTTGGAAGGAACTGAAGTCTCTGCAGAGGAGCTTTGGGGAAAAAGTTAAGGTTCAATAGAATTATCTGTGATATACTCCTAACAGAATTGAACTAAAAGGAGTCTACCATGGCTGGGGGGTTTTTTGTGATTTTTTTTTTTCTTTCTTGTTGCAGGAGTTGAACGTGAGTCAGAAGAAGAGAAATCCTTTGGTGACTTCATCATTGAGTCAAAGGATTCTCCTTACCGTACACTAAATTTCACCTTTGAGCCATATGATTTCAACAGGTTAGTGGAAGTGAATCGCTACAATGTTCTGAACAGCAAGGACACTCTTTTCAAAACCCTAAACTTGGCTCTGCAAAGGAGGAAGTTGAAGAAGGTCATCAGTAAGTCCAATACCTGATCAGCTTCCAGAGCTGAGGATACAGAGAGGCTACAGTGTACAAAAACCATGAGGTTCAAGACAGAATATTGAAAATGAATTGCTGGGAATTATCTTCTTGGCAAGGGAGTAGTACATGTGACACTGAAAATTCATTCCAGATGATGTGCTCTGATGAAAACTCGAGGGATGTACCGTACAACATGGATGTTGCTTCCTTGTGTGGGGAAGAGTAAGGAATCATCTAACCCAGTATCTCAATTTACAGTGGCTGATGCCAGATGATTAGGGAGGTCTATTCAAACAGTTCCAGCATCTGGAGAATAATCTTCCAAAGTCCACTAAGCGATGCACCTCTTTTTGTCAAAGGTGTGTTAGGGGAAACACTGATTTCTTCTGTACTTTTATCTCTCCTGCTTTTTGAATCTCCTTTCATGAACTTTTACAATTTACATCATCTTGCAAGTAATTCCACAGGTACACACACACTGAGAGAGATGTGTCCTTTTGCTTTCAACTTGTTACTGGATGATGCCTGCATACTTTCAAGACTGAACAGCGATTACTTGCTTTCTATTTTTGCCATTCACGATTTCAAAGATCTTTGTGATGTTTCCTTCCTGCCCTTCTCAGGGATTTTAATGACTTTTAGTCTACCAGAACTTCAATATTGAGTACCTTATTTTCATAAACAATTTGTTTTTGAGGAAATAAATATTCACTTTTTTATGTTTAACAATTAAAAACACATTGTGGGATTGTGTTGCTTCTTCCTACAGTTTGATCATCATGAGACGATGAAAGTGTGATGAAAGTACCATGAGTCTCGTCTTTCTCTTTGTGTATAAGAGGAAGGAAGGCTCCTTTGAAGGGTTTGAATTAGATATTTTCTGCCTTACACTTCAGTGTGCAGTTCAACCAGACCTTTGTTGGAGGAATTTGCGTGTCTATATATTTCAGAAACATCAATAGTCAAAGTAGGCACACCTTACAAATGTGAATGAATAAAACAATGTGCTGCAGTGCTGTGGGATGGAATTCACCTCACTTTGCATAAAACTCAGAGAAAAGGACTGAATTATGCAGTTGGGAAATATGTGGTACAAAAATATGTAATACAAAACAATGACAAACAAGCATTGTTTACTTTTGTGGCTTTTACACTGAGTTGAATGTACTGATTCTGTATTTGAAAACTGGAGACAGGAAATTTGTCTTATGAAAGAATGTAAAGGCTTATAGATGATGATTCTTGATACATTTTTTAATGTGTTTCTCTTTTAATAAATATTAGTTTTTCTCACATGCTTTTCACAGTCTTTCTTATAAACACTTGTCTTGATATATTTTTCCTCATTTCAATAAAAAGTAAGCAAGGAAGTCAATGTAATACTATATTGCATAGTTTCTTTTATTGCATCGGGATACTTGACAGTGGGATAACAAGTTACTGAGTCCATGTCAGGCTGGTGTTGCACAGCAGTAGAAAGTAATCTTTTAATTGTGAGACTTCTCTCTGAGGAAGCATGGCTCAAAATTTATTTTTTAGATCTATTTCAAATTGTGCCTTCATCTGGGTGATCAAACTTTCTTGATATCTGGAAGGATGTATCCTTTATGTTCTTAGCACTTATTTACTTAAGCTGGAATAAGAGAAACAGCAACTTAATGTTATAATTTTCCTTTATAATTGGTGCTGCATGACTACCCACTCTGTAGGAGTTCTTACTTATTTTACTTTGCTGAGTTGAACTGCATAGTTTGATTTATTTCTACGTTTTTGTTTTCGAGGTTCTTTCCTAATTGGAGATGATTGGATACTATGGAGATATAGTATTTAGGTACTACCTAATAGACAGGAAGGTGAAATGTTTTTCTCCAAAATTTCTACTGAAAATGTACATGTACAATGGAGTTACGTAAGGCACAGCTTCTCTGTAAGGTTTTCCACAGTGGCAGAGCTTCTTTATTGGAACCAGATATGGGGTCCTAATAGTTAATTTTAATTTCCTAAACTTATGTTTAAGTAGCCACCTCATTTGAAACTCCATGTTGTGGCAGGGGAGTTATCCCCAAGTCTGTGCATTTACTGTATGGCATATGTTCTTCAGTCTTGTTAAGATGCATCTTGTCTTGTAGGAGGAATGTGTCTTTTCTCATTGCATTTTAATTCAAGCCTAGGTATTAAGGAGAGATCAGCCTGGTATCCCAAGTCGAAGGGACATTCAGAAGAAATGGGAAGCAGGTAAGTTTGGAGTTGGTTTGTTTGCTGTTTGGTTTTTTGGGGAGGTTTTTTTTTGGTGTTTTTATCCTGGGTAGCAGGGTTAGAGCTCTCTCACAAAGGACTGCCAATTGGGAAAGGAACCCTGATAATGGGAGGAATGAGTCAGCTTTTTTTATCTGAGGAAGAGCTCACATGGGTGCTTAAGTCTTGCTCTTGCCATACTTTTACAGGAGTAGGTATGCATGCAGGCTGCATGTTAGCCTGGAAACAAGATGTATACAAAAATAGCCTGCAGACTAACCTATCTTTCTCATATCCTAACTTTATTTCAAGTGTGGTGTCCTGCTGGACATGAACTGCTTTGGAACACTATGAAGTTTTACTTGCCAAATTTTTTTCTTTTACAAGGATGTACAAAATGAAGTGGTACCCTTGAGATAGTCTTTACTATGTTGTGGTTGTGGCTTTTGGTTTTAGACAGAAAACATTTATCATGAGGATCTGGGAAATGTTTTGTGGTTCTGTTCTGTGGTAGTTTAGGGAAAGGGAAGTTCATATCACTTTTCTTGATTATTCTGTCACCGTCTGATTAATTACCTGGTGGATTTAATACAACCCTTTCAGTCTTTTTTATATATCATACAAGGTCCATTAAAACACATTTTGGGAATTTCATCTCTCATAAAAAAAGACATCATAGAAGAATTTCTATATTCCACAATTAAATGAGGTAATATGTACACAGGCACATACTTTGGAAGATTGTTGGATAATGGAGGAAGACAACCCCACAGCAAATATTTTTTGATTGGTGTTCTTGGTGTTGAGGAATACATTCAGTGCCAGTAGCTCAGTGTGCAGCAGCAGTAGAGCTGCAGGTAGTGCTCTGGGGGCAGGAAGCCCTAGACAAGAGGCTGTGACCTGGCACCAACCCTTTGCACAAAAAAAGGCACAGGGACCTGTGGCCCAGCCAGGTGACTGAACACTCAGAGACAGCAGGAACCAAGGGCTCAGCAGGAAGAACTGAAACTTTCATGCACTTAGATTGTGAGGGTATAAAAAAGCCAAGGGGGTCCTTTGTTTGGGGTCCCTCCTCAGAGGCACCAGCTCTGATTGTTTCTATGTTACTGCACCATGAATAAATTGCTTTATGGAATGACACATCTGAGACTCTGCTAAGGGAAACCTGGTTTTGAGCTGGTAAGGAAGTCTGTTCTGATTGCATTGAGTGTGGGTTTTGCAGGGAGTCAAGCAGGGCAGCTGTTGGCTCACTGGAGCTGCTCATTGTGAAGGGGCTTCAATCCCAGCAGTTAAAATCTCTGGTGGTGTGTGTCACTGAAAATCATCAGGAAGAAATGAAACCCTCCAACACTATCTTTTAAGTGACAGTGAGCCAGGCATTACTTTATTCTGGCCAGAGATATGTAGCAAATCATTCTAGCTACATATGTCCCTTTCAAGACTTTTCATGTATTTATACATTTAGCAAACAAAGAAATTTACGTTCATTGGTTCTAAGTTACACAATTCTCTTCATTAATTAATATTCTATCTTTTATTGGCTATTGATCTCTCACCATTAATGCTAATTTGGCCCACGTTATTTGGTCCTCTTGTAATTCTTCCTCAGACATACATTCTCCAACTCTCGGGCTGTAATGTCATTGTTAATCTCTGTACCTTCTGATTACTCCTCCATGTCTTTGAGAGACCATAAATTTAAGATCCCAGATGTCTAATCTTCAGCTCCCTCAGGCTTTGTTTATTGAAGCTTATCAGAGCTAGTCCAGAGGAACTCAAAAGTTCAGTGGTTTAAAGATCAAGCTGACAAGAGTCTGTGAAAAGAAACTTAGCCACCTGCTACCATTAATTAAAAAAATATTAGAAAAGTTATATAATTTCTAACACAAGTGTGACTGCCAGAATGGCTCATGGATTGTTGGACAGGAACATTTCCTTAAGATTGGTGAAGAGAGCTTGGACCATTTAAGCAACCATATCTTCAGATAATCCTGTTGAAATAATTTAAAATATTTTGTATTCAACTCTCTAGAGTGTGCAGAGTCTTGGAACTACTGTTCTCCCAAGAGTGCTATCTGGGCTCTGATTTCATTTTATCTTATCTCTCCCCTTCTCTATGTCTCAGACTGTCCAAAAGAACAAATTTTGCATGTAGCACTTGAGGACCATATATGACTGAAGTAGGTGCAGCAATGCAAATGCTGAATAGTATTAAAAATTTAACTGATTTATTTTAATTCATATGGTAATACTGTTGTAGAAATGGGCACAAGTTTCTGATCCTGACTGTTCCATCTTCTATGAGTAGCTGTTCACTTACCTATCTTTTGTGTATTTTCTTCCTTTTCTTTCAAATATGTTGCTCAAGATCCCTGTATAAACAACACTGGAGTAAAAATCCAAGTCCTACAACTTTCAATGAACCTGGATGATTGCATCTAGTTCCCAATACATGTTGAGTCCAGGTGTAAGGTGGTTGTCCTTGCCCTGAGCTATTATGGATAGTCCAGGCCCTGACTGATTCTTCTTGTTGTTGGCTTTGGGCTCTCAGAAGCCTCAGGGCATCAAGGGACTCCTAACAGGAAACCAAACAAATTCAGTGCTCTGAAACTTGTCTGAATTACTACACTTGCTGCTACTCACTCCGTGGGTTCTAAGTCCAGCTGAGCAGGCTGGACTAGTGCAGACAAGATGTGAGACATGCATGGCTTATGTTTGCAGGCAAAAGGTAACTGTGAGTGGGAAAGAGTCAGCAGTCAGAGCAGCAAGTGGAGACAAGGGATTTGCACCATCATACAGTTCTCAAAGGGTTGCTGTCTGCACTCTGGGAATCAACTGAATATGTCAAAGGAAGTGGAGAAACTGAATTCTAAGTAACAGCAACTTTTTTTTTACAGCAGTTTTGTATGCCCTGTGGCAGGATAACTTTGTTTATTCTAGTTCTTCATAAATGTTCAAAGTGAATGATCTGTGTGATAATCATTTAAATGTGCCCGGATTTAAACACCGAAGTAGCTTAATTTATATGGAAGAAGTAACAGCTCTTCAGGATTGCTTTATCCTCTATTCCAGGTAAAAGACATTTTTGTAGTCTGCCATAAAGCAATAAATTTCTGAACTATGGAGAACAAGGAAAGAACAAGGAAATCCCTCTGTCTATCTACATATCTATAAAACCATAAAAACCTAGCAAAATATGGCATGAAGTTAGTACTTAAAGAAAGCTGGAATACTAAACTACTTCTTATTTTGTAGGAAACCACATGTGATGACATGCAGAAAAATAAGGTTTGACAGCCATTCCCAGGGTAATGAATTTCCAAAGGGTAAGGGAGGAACAAAGGCATGATCCAGTTGAAAACATCATGGGTTAGTATACATAATTCGTAGAATTTCTTCATACAGTCCTTAAACATGTAAAAAATAGATTGATTACACAGAGCTGTCTTTGAAAAATAGAGACAACCAGGTTGAGAGGCTTGTGGGCAAAAACTGGAGGGTGAGCCAAGAAAGGAAACCTCATGGTGTTTACTACAGGCTACCTGATCAAGGGGAGGATGAACAAGATAATACCAATTACTTCCTAAAGAATCTTAAAAAGGTGGAAAACCCACTTCCACTGAGAAATTGAAAGTGACAAAGTTATCAAGGTCAAGAAGTTTGGTTTTTTACTATGATAGTAAGAGTTGGAAGTTGTGCCAGTGAATTCAATTGACTCACACTCAAATCACTGTCATCTTGCTGTAATTGTCCCTACAGCAGAATCATTTATAAAAGGGTTTATGAAAACCTTTTGGTTTTAATTTGAACTAAGTGAATTAAGCAGCTACTTCATTCTCTGATCTGATCAACTATGATTACCCTAGAAAAAAAGCATATTGCGTGCACCTGCAAGACCACCTACTCAGATCAACAAATATTACAGATAATGCAGTCTTCCTTCTGTGGAGTTGCTAGATTGTCATGGACAGGGACCATTTTACATTCACATTAATGATAATATTAATAATTTCTTTTCCTCCACAGATGATGACGAAGTTATGTTCTAAGTAGCTGAT